AGCATTTACGAACCTCGATATCATTGCATATTCGAGTGGCCCATGATCAAATACACCTATTGGAGCCTTTCCGGCTTGGTTCGTGCGCACATGAAAGTTCGGCGCCCACGAATTCGGCCGTTTTTGCCGACAAACGCCTAGGATGCGCACGAATCCCCATAAGTGTAGGGAAAAGCATTCAAGAACCTCGATATCATTGTGTTTTCGAGTGGCTCATCTTCAAATACACCTATTGGAGCCTTTCCGGCTTGGTTCGTGCGCACAGGAAAGTTCGGCGCCCACGAATTCGACCGTTTATGCCGACAAACGCCTAGGATGCGCACGAATCCCCATAACTGTAGGGAACAGCATTCACAAACCTCGATATCAATGCACATTCGAGTGGCTCATCTTCAAATACACCTATTCGAGCCTTTCCGGCTTGGTTCGTGCACACAGGAAAGTTCGGAGCCCACGAATTCGGCCGTTTTTGCCGACAAACGCCTAGGATGCGCACGAATCCCATAAGTGTAGGGAACAACATTCAAGAACCTCAATATTATTGCACATTCGAGTGGCTCATGTTCAAATACACCTATTGGAGCCTTTCCGGCTTGGTTCGTGCGCACAGGAAAGTTTGGCGCCCACGAATTCGGCCGTTTTTGCTGACAAACGCCTAGGATGCGCACGAATCCCCATAGGTGTAGGGAAAAGCATTCAAGAACCTCGATATCATTGCACATTTGAGTGGCTCATCTTCAAATACACCTATTGGAGCCTTTCCGGCTTGGTTCGTGCGCAATGGAAAGTTTGGCACCCACGAACTCGGCCGTTTTTGCGGACAAACGCGTAGGATGCGAACGAATCCCCAAAGGTGCAGGGAACAGCATTCAAGAACCTCGATATCATTGCACATTCGAGTGGCTCATGTTCAAATACACCTATTGGAGCCTTTCTGGCTTGGTTCGTGCGCAATGGAAAGTTCGGCGCTCACAAATTCGGCCGTTTTTGCCGACAAACGCCTAGGATCCGCACGAATCCCATAAGTGTAGGGAACAGCATTCAAGAACCTCGATATCATTGCACATTCGAGTGGCTCATGTTCGAATACACCTATTGGAGCCTTTCCGGCTTGGTTCGTGCGCAATGGAAAGTTCGGCGCCCACGAATTCGGCTGTTTATGCCGACAAACGCCTAGGATGCGCACGAATCCCCATAAGTGTAGGGAACAGCATTCAAGAACCTCGATATCATTGCACATTCGAGTGGCTCATGTTCGAATACACCTATTGGAGCCTTTCCGGCTTGGTTCGTGCGCAATGGAAAGTTCGGCGCCCACGAATTCGGCTGTTTATGCCGACAAACGCCTAGGATGCGCACGAATCCCCATAGGTGTAGGGAAAAGCATTCAAGAACCTTGATATCATTGCACATTTGAGTGGCTCATCTTCAGATACACCTATTGGAGCCTTTCCGGCTTGGTTCGTGCGCACAGGAAAGTTCGGCGCCCACAAATTGGGCCGTTTTTTCCGACAAACGCCTTGGATGCGCACGAATCCCCATATGTGTAAGGAAAAGCATCCAGGAACCTCAATATCATTGCACATTCGAGTGGCTCATCTTCAAATGCATCTATTGGAGCCTTTTCCGCCTTGGTTCGTGCGCACAGGAAAGTTCGGCGCCCACGAATTCGGCCGTTTTTGCCGACAAACGCCTAGGATGCGCACGAATCCCCAAAGGTGTAGGGAAAAGCATACAAGAACCTCGATATCATTGCACATTCGAGTGGCCCATCTTCAAATACACCTATTGGAGCCTTCTCCGCCTTGGTTCGTGCGCACAGGAAAGTTCGGCGCCCACGAATTCGGCCGTTTTTGCCGACAAACGCCTAGGATGCGCACGAATCCGCATAGGTGTACGGAAAAGCATTCCAGAACCTCGATATTATTGCACATTCGAGTGGCCCATCTTCAAATACACCTATTGGAGCCTTTCCGGCTTTGTTCGTGCGCACAGGAAAGTTCGGCGCCCACGAATTCGGCCGTTTTTGCCGACAAACGCCTATGATGCGCACGAATCCCCATAGGTGTAGGGAAAAGCATTCGAGAACCTCGATATCATTGCACATTCGAGTGGCCCATGTTCAAATAAACCTATTGGAGCCTTTCCGGCTTCTTTCGTACGCACATGAAAGTTTGGCGTCCACGAATTCGGCCGTTTTTGCCGAAAAAACGCCTAGGATGCGCACGAATCCCCATAGGTGTAGGGAGAAGCATTTACGAACCTCGATATCATTGCATATTCGAGTGGCCCATGATCAAATACACCTATTGGAGCCTTTCCGGCTTGGTTCGTGCGCACATGAAAGTTCGGCGCCCACGAATTCGGCCGTTTTTTGCCGACAAACGCCTAGGATGCGCACGAATCCCCATAAGTGTAGGGAAAAGCATTCAAGAACCTCGATATCATTGTGTTTTCGAGTGGCTCATCTTCAAATACACCTATTGGAGCCTTTCCGGCTTGGTTCGTGCGCACAGGAAAGTTCGGCGCCCACGAATTCGACCGTTTATGCCGACAAACGCCTAGGATGCGCACGAATCCCCATAACTGTAGGGAACAGCATTCACAAACCTCGATATCAATGCACATTCGAGTGGCTCATCTTCAAATACACCTATTCGAGCCTTTCCGGCTTGGTTCGTGCACACAGGAAAGTTCGGAGCCCACGAATTCGGCCGTTTTTGCCGACAAACGCCTAGGATGCGCACGAATCCCATAAGTGTAGGGAACAACATTCAAGAACCTCAATATTATTGCACATTCGAGTGGCTCATGTTCAAATACACCTATTGGAGCCTTTCCGGCTTGGTTCGTGCGCACAGGAAAGTTTGGCGCCCACGAATTCGGCCGTTTTTGCTGACAAACGCCTAGGATGCGCACGAATCCCCATAGGTGTAGGGAAAAGCATTCAAGAACCTCGATATCATTGCACATTTGAGTGGCTCATCTTCAAATACACCTATTGGAGCCTTTCCGGCTTGGTTCGTGCGCAATGGAAAGTTTGGCACCCACGAACTCGGCCGTTTTTGCGGACAAACGCGTAGGATGCGAACGAATCCCCAAAGGTGCAGGGAACAGCATTCAAGAACCTCGATATCATTGCACATTCGAGTGGCTCATGTTCAAATACACCTATTGGAGCCTTTCTGGCTTGGTTCGTGCGCAATGGAAAGTTCGGCGCTCACAAATTCGGCCGTTTTTGCCGACAAACGCCTAGGATCCGCACGAATCCCATAAGTGTAGGGAACAGCATTCAAGAACCTCGATATCATTGCACATTCGAGTGGCTCATGTTCGAATACACCTATTGGAGCCTTTCCGGCTTGGTTCGTGCGCAATGGAAAGTTCGGCGCCCACGAATTCGGCTGTTTATGCCGACAAACGCCTAGGATGCGCACGAATCCCCATAAGTGTAGGGAACAGCATTCAAGAACCTCGATATCATTGCATATTCGAGTGGCTCATGTTCAAATACACCTATTGGAGCCTTTCCGGCTTGGTTCGTGCGCAATGGAAAGTTCGGCGCCCACGAATTCGGCCGTTTTTGCCGACAAACGCCTAGGATGCGCACGAATCCCCATAGGTGTATTGAAAAGCATTCAAGAACCTTGATATCATTGCACATTCGAGTGGCTCATCTTCAAATACACCTATTGGAGCCTTTCCGGCTTGGTTCGTGCACACAGGAAAGTTCGGCGCCCACGAATTCGGCCGTTTATGCCGACAAACACCTAGGATGCGCACGAATCCCAATAACTGTAGGGAACAGCATTCACGAACCTCGATATCATTGCACATTCGAGTGGCCCATGTTCAAATCCCCACATAGGAAAAAGCATTCAAGAACCTCAATATCATTGCACATTCGAGTGGCTCATGTTCAAATATACCTATTGGAGCCTTTCCGGCTTGGTTCGTGCGCACAAGAAAGTTCGGCGCCCACGAATTCGACCGTTTTTGCCGACAAATGCCTAGGATGCGCACGAATCCCTACAGGTGTAGGGAAAAGCATTCAAGAACCTCAATATCATTGCACATTCGAGTGGCTCATGTTCAAATACACCTAGTGGAGCCTTTCCGGCTTGGTTCGTGCACATAGGAAAGTTCGGCGAACGAGAGAGTTGAGCCAAAAATGTGGAGAGATATTGGCTTACTATAGGGCCAAATGCCCAAGTTATACAAGTAACAATGCAATAAGTGGTGCACCACAAACAAGGCTAGCTAACTACACTACAAACCACAAACAATTATATAAAGCGACGAACATATTTTGACAATTATCACTACCATTACCAATTTCGACCGTTTTTTTCAACAAATGTAAGCGAATGAAGCCCAATTGGCGTTGGGAAAATCATTCTACATCCTAAATGTTATTGCATATTCGAGTGGCTCATGTTCAAATACACCTATTAGAGCCTTTCTGCTTGGTTCGTGCGCAAAGAAAAGTTCGGCGCCTATGATTTCGGCTGTTTTTGCCAACAAATTCTTAGAAAGTGGATGCTTCTCTATAGGCGTAGGGAAAAACATTCAACAACCTGAATGTTAATGCATATTCAAATGGCTCATGTTCAAATACACCTATCGAGGATATTTTCACCCTAAACCCTGCTCAAATAAAAGATTGGTGCCTACGATTTTGGAGTTTTTGCCGACAAATGAGTCGAATGCGCATGAATAAATCCCTACAGAGATAGGAAAAAATATTGAACAACTTGAATGTTATTGCATATTCGGATGACTCATGTTCAAATACTCCTATCGGAGCATTTTCAACTCCGTTTGTGCTCGAAGAAAAGTGCGGCGGCTACGATTCTGGCTGTTCTTGTGGATAATTTGTCAAAATGTGGATGAATTCCTATAAGCGTAAGGAAAGCATTGAACAATCTGAAGTTACTGCATATTCGGAGCTGCTCCATATGCTCCTCGTCCCTTCTACTCCCCCTCTTCCCACACACATGTTACTGCAGCAGTGTACCGGCAAACGGCAGCAGGTTGATGGCCTGCTTTGCTGACTGGTTCAGCTGCCTTAGCTGCTCGATGTGCTGCTCATCCCGCTCCACCGGGATTATGGTTGCTGGCTCCCCCTCCCCCACCAGCCGCACAACCCGGTTCGCTGCCTCTAGGCCTGTCACATACGCCTTTTCCTGATGGGATGGATAGATTGGGTTCAAGGTGTTGTGCGCGAATTAGTTGTATGGAATCCACACCTCCCCACCAGCAACACGACCCTGACCTGACCGAAGCCATACATGCGGCTACACTACACACCCCATACCTGTGACCACGAGCCATGGCGAGTGACGATCCAGTCCCCGGCCACGAACGGTGAAGCTGGTGGTGGCGGGGAGGGTGGAGAACAATAGCAAACACCATAGCCCATACCGAGGAGCATGACCCATGCCACACCTTACCATAAGCCATGCCATTACCCATACCTGCCACCACGAGCCATGGCGAGTGACGATCCAGTCCCCGGCCATGAAGAGATTGGTGAAGCTGGTGGTGGCGGGGGGGCGAGGAGGCTGGTACCATGTCCATCCTTACCCGAACGCCATGACGCATGCTATAACTGCGATTCTGATCCAAACAGCCCAACCCATTTCCATTACCTGCGACCACGAGCCATGGCAAGTGATGATCCAGTCCCCGGCCATGAAGAGATTGGTGAAGCTGGTGGTGGCTGGCAACAGGTGCTGATAGGAGCCTGGTTGATGGGGGAAGGGAGAGAGGGGGCAGAGATGGGGAGAGGAGGGTTGGACAGAGCATGCAGCCAGCCATGAAGAGGTTGGTGCAGCTGGAGGTGGCAGGCAATAGGTGCTGGTAGGAGCCTGGTTTGAGAGGGGGGATAGACGATGGAGAACAGAGGGGGAGATGGAAGGGGTTGGTTGGATGGACACACCCTGCCACGAAGAGGTTGGTGCAGCTGGTGGTGAAGGGAGGAGTGGCGAACTGCACGACAGCACTGACGGTGACTTGGGCAGAGGCGAAGGCAGGGAAACAACTACACACCACACACGCGCACACCCACACCCATCAAAGCCACAGCAGACACAACTGCATGGCACAGGGAAGCGGGAGCCTACCTGGGGAGAAGTGGGTGACAGCTCTAGGGAACCGCACGACAGCACTGTCGGCGACTTGGGCAGAGGCAAAGGCAGAAATGCACGTGGCGAGGTAGCGCATGACCGTTGCTCTCGGCCCCATTCCTCCCTTCGCTTCTCCCCCTTCCCCTTCCCCCCTTCCCCTTCTCCACTTCCCCTTCCCTCCTTCCCCTTACCCCTACGCCCACCCAACCACCCACACCAACCAATGTACCTGGGGAGAAGTGGGTGATGGCGCGGGGAAACCGCACGACAGCACTGTCGGTGACTTGGGCAGAGGCGAAGACAGGGAGGCACGTGGCGAGGTACCGCATGGCTGTTCCTCCACTTCCCCTCCCCTCCTTCCCCTTCCCCACTTCCCCTTCTCCCCTTCCCCCACCCCTCTTCTCCACGCAACCCACCCACACAAAGCAACGCACCTGGGGAGAAGTGGGTGACGGCTCTGGGGAAGCGCACGACAGCACTGTCGGTGACTTGGGCAGAGGCGAAGGCAGGGAGGCACGTGGCGAGGTAGCGCATGACCGTTGCCACTATTGCCTCGTCTGACATGGGCAGGTACTGATTCGCGTGGTACTGGTGGTTGTGGGGGAGGAGGGTTGAGCGGGGGGATCAGGGGGAAGCAGGGAAGAGCAGAGAGCAAGAGGGGTTGCTTCAATCAAGAGCTGGGATGCACGTGGCGAGGTAGTGCATGACCGTTGCCACTATTGCCCCGTCTGACATGGGCAGATACTGATTCGCGTGGTACTGTGGGAAAGGAGGGATGGATAGGGGAGGAGTGTGTGTGGGTAGGAGGGGGGAAAGAGAGGTAGCGCATGACCGTTGCCACTATTGCCTCGTCTGACATGAGCAGGTACTGATTCGCGTGGTACTGGTGGTTGTGGGGGAGGAGGGTTGAGCGGGGGGATCAGGGGGGAGCAGGGAAGAGCAGAGAGCAAGAGGGGTTGCTTCAATCAAGAGCTGGGATGCACGTGGCGAGGTAGCGCATGACCGTTGCCACTATTGCCCCGTCTGACATGGGCAGATACTGATTCGCGTGGTACTGTGGGAAAGGGGGGATGGATAGGGGAGGAGTGTGTGTGGGTAGGAGGGGGGAAAGAGAGGTAGCGCATGACCGTTGCCACTATTGCCTCGTCTGACATGGGCAGGTACTGATTCGCGTGGTACTGGTGGTTGTGGGGGAGGAGGGTTGAGCGGGGGGATCAGGGGGGAGCAGGGAAGAGCAGAGAGCAAGAGGGGTTGCTTCAATCAAGAGCTGGGATGCACGTGGCGAGGTAGCGCATGACCGTTGCCACTATTGCCCCGTCTGACATGGGCAGATACTGATTCGCGTGGTACTGTGGGAAAGGGGGGATGGATAGGGGAGGAGTGTGTGTGGGTAGGGGGAAAGAGAGGTAGCGCATGACCGTTGCCACTATTGCCCCGTCTGACATGGGCAGATACTGATTCGCGTGGTACTGGCGAATGCGGTGACAGGGAGTGATAGGAAGTGAAAGGGAGCGATGGGGAGAGACAGGGAGCAGTGGTGAGTAAGAGGCAGCGTTGCGCAGGCATGAAGGTGGCGAGGTAACGCATGACTGTTGCCACAATGGCCTCGTCTGACATGGGCAGATACTGATTCGCGTGGTACTGGCGATTGCGGTGACAGGGAGTGATAGGAAGTGAAAGGGAGCGATGGGGAGAGACAGGGAGCAGTGGTGAGTAAGAGGCAGCGTTGCGCAGGCATGAAGGTGGCGAGGTAACGCATGACTGTTGCCACAATGGCCTCGTCTGACATGGGCAGATACTGATTCGCGTGGTACTGGCGATTGCGGTGACAGGGAGTGATAGGAAGTGAAAGGGAGTGATGGGGAGAGACAGGGAGCAATGGTGAGTAAGAGGCAGCGTTGCGCAGGCATGAAGGTGGCGAGGTAACGCATGACCGTTGCCACTATCGCCTCATCTGACATGGGCAGATACAGGTTTGCGTGGTACTGCTGGTGGTGGTGGGGGGTTTGAAGGGGTGAAAGGGAGTGACAGGGAGTGACACGGAATGACAGGGAGTGACTGACAGGGAGTGACCAGGAGTATGGGTGAGCGTGGTGCAGCTCTGAGCTGAGAGGCAATGGGCTTGTCTGACTTGGGCAAATACTGGTTCGCCTGGCACCGGCGGTGGCGGTGGCGGTGGCGGTGGCGGTGGCGGTGGAGGTGGCAGTGGCGGTGGCGGTGGCGGTGGCGGTCGCGGTGGCGGTGGACTATGTTGGAAAATTCGCGCCCAGCGCATTATACGCAAGCGTATATACGCTTGCGTATAGTGCGTTATGCGCTTCGTGAGTGACCTGCCTGGGCAGCAAAAGGTTTTTACCGGGCAGACGAAAAAAACCGCCGAAGGAGGGGGGGGGGAGTGGTGGTTTTACCGAATTTCATATATTGAAAAAACCCACCATTCTCAACTACTCTAAGCAAGCAACATGCATCTCTCCTACCCCACCCCCTACTCCCACCCTCTACTCCCCTCCTTCCTCCTCTACTTGTACTCATCCTCCAGCTCATCCTCCTCATCCTCCTCCAGAACCTCGTTGTACCCTTCCGGCAGGGAGGCCTCAGGGATGTTCCCCGGGAGAACCGTCACCCACTCAGCCCCCTTGTGCCAGTTGCGCACAATGTTCCAATTGTGCGCAACATACACGAGGTCCCGACACTTCTCGGACCCCAACCTGTTGCGCTTGGCAGTGTGGATTGATTCCCACACTGCCCAGTTCCTCTCACACGCCGATGCGGACACTGGCTGAGAGAGAACGCGGCAAGCGAGCGTTGTCAGCTCGGGGTGCTCCGTCCCGTGCCACGTCCACCACTGGACGGCCGTCTTCTTACCGGCCTTCATGAGCTCACGGTCAGAGATGGCGTCGGGTAGGCCGAAGCTCCCCTGAAGGGTGTTGAATGCCGTCAGGCCGTCCTGGATGACGTGGGATGCGCGCAGCTCCTCGCCATCCTTGCGCGTGACGGTCCGCCCTGCGTAGTGACGAGCGACAAACGCTTTGAAGACGCGAGTACACTCCAGGTCGGTGCGGAAGATGCCTTCCTCTTGGTTGACCGGGTTGAGGATCCGGCCAACCACGTGCATGGCACACGCCATGCTATGGTCCCAGCGCTTTTGGACGATGTTGGTCACCTCCGTGCGTTCACTGCTGGACAGCACCAATCCCGCCTCCTCCTCCTCCAGCTTCGCATTGATGTCTTCCGTGAGCTGCAGCATCAGATCGTACATCCTGCCCATCATGCCCTTGGCCGTCGAGTCGGTCTTGCGCATGACGACAAAGGGGATCTTCAGGAGGGCGACGAAGAACTCCGCACCTTTCCACCACACGGCATCCATGATCATGGTTGCGAAGGGCTCGACCGGCGGCTTCCTCCCCTTCGCCCAAGCCTGCCACTCCGGGCTCAGCACCATCTGCGTCAATGCACTCCGCATCTCGCAAAGCCGCTGCACCGCGATGAATTGCGTGCCAAATCTGGTGCCCGCCGGCTTCAGCACCTGCTTCCCCTTCCCTCCCTTCACTTGCGGGCTTCGCATGTAACCTTTGGTGAAATGGTGGGCACGCACAAAGGTAATAATCACCCCCGCCTTAGCCACAATGTCCTTCGCCCAATCCATTTTCCCAATGTCCTCCATGAGCAGATCCATGACGTGAGTAGCGCACGGCACATGCTCAATGTGAGGATACTCAAGCATGAGTTCCCTACATGCAGCCGCATAATTGCTGCCCCCATCCATGCATAACGCAACTATGTTGGCGGGCCCCACCTTCTCAATGATCGGGCGCAAAACAGATGCAATGTAGCCTCCCGTCTTCGTCTCCAACTTACAGTCGATGCTTTCGGTGAACACTGCACCGGAATCGTTGATGAGCAGGATGTTGGCTTGGGGACGGCCACTTCTGTCCGTCATCATGTCCGAGCCTATCGTCACGCCATCCCGCTTCCAGCTCGCAGTGATGGGAGCGAGCCCCCTCTCGATCTTTTCGCGGCAGCGCGCAAGGCCGGCGCCACCAACATACCGCCGCTTCGGGGGAACGTAGCCATGGCCCGCGTCCGTGATGCAGCGCACAGCGTTGCGCCAGAGAGGGTGATCGGCGAGATGCTCCGGGAGGTGAAGTGCCGCCCACATGAGGCAGATGGCGTCGTCTGCCGATTCCTTCGCACACGACGCCCCTTCCCCGTAGAAGTCTTCGATGCACTGCTTCTTCGCTCCACCCGCACACGCCTCGATCGCCATCTCCTCCGCCTTCTTCTTCCCTTCCCTGCGGGCGTGTTTGCCTTCGTACAATTCGCGGACGGCGCCGCGGTCAGCAGAAGGGATAGGCGCCTTGCAAAGACGGACGTCCTTCCGTTTCAGCCCTTTCCAGCGCGTGATGTGTTGCGCGCAACGGAAGGCGCCCCCTACGAACTTAAGCTTGCAGTGCCGGCATATGCGGAGAGTACGCTCAGGACCATTCGAGGTACCTTCGGTAGAGGTAAGGAAATGCTTAAAAATAACATGGGTGTTCACAGGAACATCCTCGTCGTCCGCCATGGTCGCGTCATTCGAAACACTAGGAGCCTCACTAGTGGCACTTGCGGGAGTACCAGAAGGAGTCGACATCAAGTGCAGGTGAGCGGGAGTGTTGAGAGAGAATGAACGAGAGAGATAATACAGATGACGGGAATGAGAGCTTACCTTATAGTCCAGGATGTGGTTGAACCACCTACGCTGGTTGACGACATTCGTGTTTGTGTGTTGGAGTCGCGCGATAGCATAGGGTGCAGTGCGGTTCAAATTTTCCCACGTCCCCACATTTTGACAGGTGTGGGTGACAATGTGGTTGGGACGTGCGTACAAATTGGGGTGGGACGTGCGTACATTTTGAGTCGCGTCGCACATTCGCAATTCGTGCGCGACTATTGAAATCTGGTTTTTTTTCGGGTCAGCCCGAACTTTCGCCAACGAATATACGTACGACTTGCGTACATCGTATATTCGTAAACGACTATACGGAGTGCGCTTATGGTTTCTGGCGACTTTTCCAACATAGGCGGTGGAGGTGGAGGTGGTGGTGGCGGTGGCGGTGGCGGTGGCGGTGGCGGTGGCGGTGACGGTGGCGGTGGCGGTGGCGGTGGTGGTGGCGGTGGCGGTGGCGGTGGCGGTGGCGGTGGAGGTGGCGGTGGCGGTGGGGGTGGCGGTGGCGGTGGCGGTGGCGGTGGCGGTGGTTAATGAGGGCCAACAAGGGTTAATGAGGGTCACCAAGGGTTAATGAGGATCAACAAGGGTTAATGAGGATCAACAAGGGTTAATGAGGGTCAACAAGGGTTAATGAGGATCAACAAGGGTTAATGAGGGTCAACAAGGGTTAATGAGGGTCAAAAGGCGACTCACAAAGTCTGCTTCAACGACGGTGCAGGGCTCGTCCTTGTACTCATCGTGAATGGCGTTGAGATCAAAGAAGGTCCACCCTGTTGTCTCGTCAAAACCGGAACACGCGTTGGATGGCTTGGGGATGGTGATCTGTGAGAGGAGCGGGCATGGAGGGGAAGGAGGGGAAGAACATGGGGCGAGAGGAACACGTTCACTGGAATGCCCACCCCGTTGTCTCATCAAAGCCGAAGCTCGCATTGGACGGTTTGGGGATGCTGATCTGCATGGCAGGAGGCAGCGGGAGCGAAGATTGCTTGAGGAATGAAGGTCGCTTGGGATCAAGTCCTGCTTTGCCCTGCACAAACGGGCCTACCGCTACCCCTTTCTCCTTTGCTACCAGTACGTCGATGGCTTTTGAGGCGCCTCAAAAGTTGCACGAGCGGGCCTACTGCTACCCCTTCTCTCCTGTACTGCAAGTCCGCCGATGGCCCCCAGATTCCAATGCCAAAGCACCTCACTGCACCCCTCAGCACACCCCCTCACCGCATTGCACTGCACTGCCCTTCTCACCTTCCTGTCGAGCCAGAAATGCACTGCCAGCACGTCGATGGCCCCCAGATTCCAATATCTAAATACCGCGCTGCACCCCTCAGCATACCCTCTCACCGCACCTTCCTGTCCAACCACAGCCGCACTGCCAGCACATCGATAGCCTCCGAATAACATGGTCAATGCAACTCACAGCACCTCTCAGCATACCCCCTCACCGCACTGCACCCCTCCACGCACCTTCCTGTCGAGCCACAACCGCACTGCCAGCACATCAATTGCACCCAGGTTCGCCACGCCCAGAAACTCCTTCCTGCTGGACAGCGCTGGGCTGAGGAGGTGGGGGCAGCAGAGGGGGGAGAAGAGGGGCGAGAGGGAGAGCAGAGTGAAGACAAAGGGGGCGGTTGTTTGAAGGCGCCTTAGAGACAGACTCGCCATGCAGAGAAACTCCTTCCTGCTGGACAGTGCTGGGCTGAGGAGGTGGGGGCAATGCACAGGCGAGGGGAGAGGGGCGAGAGGAGAGGGGCGAGAGGGAGAGGAGGGTGGGAAGGAGAAGGGGGGGTTACGCATGAGGTACCCAAAAGGCAGCATAGCCTGGCAATACACACCTGGACACAGCGGTTCGTCTCTGCACTTCGGCCTCAAAAACAATCACCCAGAGCCGACAATGTGAAACGTCTCGAAAAGAAGCACAGCGGTTACTTACACGCAGTTTGTCTTTGCATCTTGGCCTCGCACCTCGACGCAACAATGTGAACGTGTTATGGGAAGTCTCAACACAATGTACTTTCGTGCAGTTTGTCTTTACATCTTGGCCTCTGGAGCCGTGTTTTCAGTCGACTCGTTAAGTCTGCAGCTCGCTGGGAATATGTCTGAAGGCAGTTTGTCTTTACGTCTTGGCCTCAGCAGCTTTCACCTCGAAGCGACGATGTTCTTGAGGCCTGATATGCCCACTGCTGACACCACTGCATGCGCTGCACACACGCTGCGGTTACCTTTCACCTGGACATACCGTGCAGCACCACTCACCTAAAGGCAGCGCCGAAGTTGACTCAACTCACCTCGAAGCGACAATGTTTTTGAGGCCTGAGATGCCCACTGCTGACACCACTGCTTCCGCCGCAAACACCTCGTCACCGCACACCACCGCTGTGACTCTGTCCGGATCGTCCTCAGCCGTTGCAATGTCTGGCACAGGAGGGAGGCGGCGAGGGGGAAGAGATAGAAGGAGGAGTTGCCACATAGAGAGAAGGCCACATAGAGAAGGCCACTAAAGAATTCTCAAAGATGACGCCAGTAGGCGTCCATAACACACCTCTCAACCACTGAACATTGCTGCGAAATGCCTGGCACGCAACCCCTCAGCCCTCAGCTGTCAACGGCACAATAATTCCCTTATCCACAGCCCCCTCCTCTCTCCCCCCCACATTCTCCCCCCGCCTCTCAGCACCCGTACCCCACGTCACCCACCTGTGACGCGTCAGCTTTTGAGACGTCTCAGAACTCCTCTCTCCTACCCACCTTCCCCCCCGCCTCTCAGCACCCGCACCCTACGTCGCCCACCTGTGACGCGTCGGTTGGGCAGGAAGCGGAAGTTCCCAGAAGCTTCCATGGTTTGGATCCAGGGGGCGAAGATGGTCTCGCCTACTGTGCCCCGGCACCACACCACATCAAAGTCGGCCTGTGAGTGGAAGGGGAGAGATCCGGGGAGAGACAGGGGGTCTGAGTCACTGGGCAACGATGGTCTTCCCTACCGTGCCCCGGCACCACACCGCATCAAATTCGGCCTGAAGGTGTGGTGGAAGAGACAGAAGTTGTGTAGAGGACGGAGGAGGGAAGAGGGGGAAAGGAGGAGGCTTGTATCCAGGGGGCGAAGATGGTCTCGCCTACTGTGCCCCGGCACCACACCACGTGGAAATCAGCCTGTTGGTGTGGGAAGAGAGAGGGGTTGTAAAGGGACTAGGTACAGAGGATGGAGGAGAGAAGATGGCCTTTGCGTGCATGCAAGGGGGCTTGCATGCACAGGGAGCAAGGCCCCTTGCATGCACAGGGAGCAAGCCCCCTTGCGTGCATGCACAGGGAGCAAGCCCCCTTGCGTGCATGCACAGGGAGCAAGGCCCCTTGCGTGCATGCACAGGGAGCAAGCCCCCTTGCGTGCATGCACAGGGAGCAAGCCCCCTTGCGTGCATGCACAGGGAGCAAGCCCCCTTGCGTGCATGCACAGGGAGCAAGGCCCCTTGCATGCACAGGGAGCAGACCCCCTTGCTTGCATGCACAGGGAGCAAGCCCCCTTGCGTGCATGCACAGGGAGCAAGCCCCCTTGCATGCACAGGGAGCAAGCCCCCTTGCGTGCATGCACAGGGAGCAAGCCCCCTTGCGTGCATGCACAGGGAGCAAGCCCCCTTGCGTGCATGCACAGGGAGCAAGGCCCCTTGCATGCACAGGGAGCAGACCCCCTTGCTTGCATGCACAGGGAGCAAGCCCCCTTGCGTGCATGCACAGGGAGCAAGCCCCCTTGCATGCACAGGGAGCAAGCCCCCTTGCGTGCATGCACAGGGAGCAAGCCCCCTTGCGTGCATGCACAGGGAGCAAGCCCCCTTGCGTGCATGCACAGGGAGCAAGCCCCCTTGCGTGCATGCACAGGGAGCAAGGCCCCTTGCGTGCATGCACAGGGAGCAAGCCCCCTTGCGTGCATGCACAGGGAGCAAGCCCCCTTGCGTGCATGCACAGGGAGCAAGCCCCCTTGCGTGCATGCACAGGGAGCAAGCCCCCTGGCGTGCATGCACAGGGAGCAAGCCCCCTTGCGTGCATGCACAGGGAGCAAGGCCCCTTGCATGCACAGGGAGCAAACCCCCTTGCTTGCATGCACAGGGAGCAAGCCCCCTTGCGTGCATGCACAGGGAGCAAGCCCCCTTGCGTGCATGCACAGGGAGCAAGCCCCCTTGCGTGCATGCACAGGGAGCAAGCCCCCTTGCGTGCATGCACAGGGAGCAAGCCCCCTTGCGTGCATGCACAGGGAGCAAGCCCCCTTGCGTGCATGCACAGGGAGCAAGCCCACTTGCGTGCATGCACAGGGAGCAAGCCCCCTTGCGTGCATGCACAGGGAGCAAGGCCCCTTGCATGCACAGGGAGCAAGCCCCCTTGCTTGCATGCACAGGGAGCAAGCCCCCTTGCTTGCATGCACAGGGAGCAAGCCCCCTTGCGTGCATGCACAGGGAGCAAGCCCCCTTGCGTGCATGCACAGGGAGCAAGCCCCCTTGCATGCACAGGGAGCAAGCCCCCTTGCATGCACAGGGAGCAAGCCCCCTTGCGTGCATGCACAGGGAGCAAGCCCCCTTGCGTGCATGCACAGGGAGCAAGCCCCCTTGCGTGCATGCACAGGGAGCAAGCCCCCTTGCGTGCATGCACAGGGAGCAAGCCCCCTTGCGTGCATGCACAGGGAGCAAGCCCCCTTGCGTGCATGCACAGGGAGCAAGCCCCCTTGCGTGCATGCACAGGGAGCAAGCCCCCTTGCGTGCATGCACAGGGAGCAAGCCCCCTTGCGTGCATGCACAGGGAGCAAGCCCCCTTGCGTGCATGCACAGGGAGCAAGCCCCCTTGCGTGCATGCACAGGGAGCAAGCCCCCTTGCGTGCATGCACAGGGAGCAAGCCCCCTTGCGTGCATGCACAGGGAGCAAGCCCCCTTGCGTGCATGCACAGGGAGCAAGCCCCCTTGCGTGCATGCACAGGGAGCAAGCCCCCTTGCGTGCATGCACAGGGAGCAAGCCCCCTTGCGTGCATGCACAGGGAGCAAGCCCCCTTGCGTGCATGCACAGGGAGCAAGCCCCCTTGCGTGCATGCACAGGGAGCAAGCCCCCTTGCGTGCATGCACAGGGAGCAAGCCCCCTTGCGTGCATGCACAGGGAGCAAGCCCCCTTGCGTGCATGCACAGGGAGCAAGCCCCCTTGCGTGCATGCACAGGGAGCAAGCCCCCTTGCGTGCATGCACAGGGAGCAAGCCCCCTTGCGTGCATGCACAGGGAGCAAGCCCCCTTGCGTGCATGCACAGGGAGCAAGCCCCCTTGCGTGCATGCACAGGGAGCAAGCCCCCTTGCGTGCATGCACAGGGAGCAAGCCCCCTTGCGTGCATGCACAGGGAGCAAGCCCCTTGCGTGCATGCACAGGGAGCAAGCCCCCTTGCGTGCATGCACAGGGAGCAAGCCCCCTTGCGTGCATGCACAGGGAGCAAGCCCCCTTGCTTGCATGCACAGGGAGCAAGCCCCCTTGCGTGCATGCACAGGGAGCAAGCCCCCTTGCGTGCATGCACAGGGAGCAAGCCCCCTTGCGTGCATGCACAGGGAGCAAGCCCCCTTGCGTGCATGCACAGGGAGCAAGCCCCCTTGCGTGCATGCACAGGGAGCAAGCCCCCTTGCGTGCATGAAAGGGGGATGAAGATGGCCTCACTCACTGTGCGCCCCCACCCTCTTGAACATTCTAATTGCTAGCGCCCGCCACCCTTGTAAAAACGCACCTGGTGCGCGAGAATGAAGTAGTAGAGCATTCCCAAAGTAGCAGCGGCACTGCACTGTTCGTCAGGGGCGAACAGGCCCACCAGCAGCATGGGGTTGATAAGAGTGCGGTGGAGTGCGGTGCGGTGTGGTGCCCACCTGATGCGCGAGAATGAAGTAGTAGAGCATTCCCAAAGTAGCAGCGGCACTGCACTGTTCGTCAGGGGCGAACAGGCCCACCAGCAGCATGGGGTTGATAAGAGTGCGGTGGAGTGCGGTGCGGTGTGGTGCCCACCTGATGCGCGAGAATGAAGTAATAGAGCATTCCCAAAGTAGCAGCAGCGCTGCACTGCTCGCCTGGAGCGAACAGCCCCACCAACAGCATGGGGTTGAATGCCTCTCGGTAAACCCGGTCCGTGCACCCATACTGCTTGAACAACTCCCTGGCCGTCACTGCAAGATAGGGAAAGGTGGAGTGTGGTGCAATGTGGTGTGGTGCAGTGTGGTGTGATTAGGGGACAAGAGGAGGCGAACAGCCCGACGAGCAGCATGGGGTTGAAGGCATCTCGATACACGAGATCCATGCACCCACACTGCTTGAACAGCTCCCTCGCTGTTACTGCGTGGAGTAGAGGGGTGTTGAGTGTGGTGTGGTGCGGTGCAGTGTTGTGTGGTGTGGGTAAACGGAATTGGGGGCCATGAGGAGCAAACAGCCCCACGAGCAGCATGGGGTTGAAAGCTTCCCTGTAGATCTGGTCCGTGCACCCATGCTGCTTGAACAACTCCCTTGCCGCTACTGCATGGGTTAGGGGTAGAGTGTGGTGTGGTGCAATGAGGTGTGAGCGGGGATGTTGGGAGACATGAGTTGCGAGCAGCATGGGGTTAAGTGCTTCCCTGTAGACCCGATCTGTGCACCCATACTGCTTGAACAGCTCCCTTGCCGTTACTGCGTGGGATAGGGGTAGAGCGTGTTGCAGTGTGGTGCACTGCAATGCGGTGCAGCGCGGTGTGAGTGGGTATGTTGGGAGCCATGAGGAGCGAACAGCCCCACCAGCAGCATGGGGTTGAATGCCTCTCGATACACGCGGTCCGCGCACCCATACTGCTTGAACAACTCCCTTGCCGTTACTGCATGGGGTAACAGGGGATAGGGCGTGTGTGGTGCAGTGCGGTGCCGTGGGATGAGGTGTAGTGTGGTGCGGAGTGGTGTGGTGTGGTGCCGGAAGGTGGGTGTGGGGCATGAGGAGCAAACGGCAAATGAAGTGAGGGAACAAATGGAGTGAGGGAAGGATAGGCAGGTGGGAAGAGGGAGGGTTAGAGAGGGAAGACGGATGCTGAGTCAAAGGAAGAGAGAGAGAACTACTTTTGAGAATTCTCAGAAGAAAAGGAAGGCTGAGGGGGACGAGGACTCACGTCTGTCGTATCGGCGCCACGCGTCATCACTGTTGTCAAAATCAACCACTGTTGATAGACACGCATGTATAACAGTAGAAGATAGAAGAGAGAGCGATAATAACGAGGATGTATGTGTGGAGGTTGTGAATGAGTTGTCACTGTTGTTATAACGGGGATAAACATGAGGAGGGGGAGAGAGCAGAGAAACGGGACATTAAAACGGCCACAAGAAAAGAACCGGCACCCACAAGCAGCAGCAGGGTTCGGCACACACTGGGAGAAGGGTGTGTGGCACGACATTCAGGTAGATGTGTCAACACAAGCAGCACGGCGCAGCACTCACTGTGCTGGCTGGCAGTTCAGCACTGGCTGCTGGCAGGGGGAGATCACTCACTGGCGTACATGAGGGCGAGCGCTGACAGCCTGTCCGCCAGAGGCAGGCGCTTGAACTGCAGGGGAGCGAATGAGCAAGAGTGGGGGGGGTTAGCGGCGGGAGGGCGGCGGGGGGGCGGGCGGGGGGGCCGGGCGTGGGGAGGCAGCGAATGACGGGGGCAATGGCACACACGAGTGGGACTAGGCAGTGTGAGAAGGTCCTGGAAGATTGGGGATTCCACCTCCATGCAAGTTGACTTTTGAGTCGACTCAAAAGTCATGACGGGGCAATGGCACACACGAATGGGACTAGGCAGTGTGAGAAGGTCCTGGAAGGATGGGGTTTCCACCTCCATGCCAGCAGGCGAGTACTGCGCTGCGCTGCACCTACCCACACACATACCCACATACACACACACACACTGATACCCACCTGCCACCACACGCCTACGTGCGTCCGGACAAACGTGCCCTCAATGGACTAGGCAGCCTTGGCAGCCTTGGCCCTCAATGGGAGATGGGCGACTCCACCTCCACGCCAGCAGGCGAGTACTGCGCTGCGCTGAGCTGAGGTGAGCTGAGGTGAGCTGAGGTGAGCTGAGGTGAGCTGAGGTGAGCTGAGCTGAGCTGAGCTGAGCTGAGCTGAGCTGAGCTGAGCTGAGCTGAGGTGAGCTGAGGTGAGCTGAGCTAAGCTGAGCTGAGGTGAGCTGAGGTGAGCTGAGCTGAGCTGAGCTGAGCTGAGCTGAGCTGAGCTGAGCTGAGCTGAGGTGAGCTGAGCTGAGGTGAGGTGAGGTGACCGCACATACCCACCCGCGCTCACCCACTCTGTTGCCCACCTGCCACCAGTCACCCACCTGCGTCCACCTTCAGCCCTGCACACGAGTACTGCGCTGCGCTGAGCTGACAACACCCACCCACCCACCTACTCACCCACCCTGTTGCCCCGCTGCCACCAGACGGACACCCTCCCACCTGCGTCCAGACAAAGGTGCCGAGAGGACTAGGCAGCCGCGGTTTTTGAGTCGACTCAAAAGGCAGCCGCGGAAGGTCCTGGAAGATTGGTGATTCCACCTCCACACCACGCCAGCAGGCGAGCACTAGCTGCGCACGTAGCCGAAGGCGCGCAGTGACTATTGCTGCATGCCAAACTGACCCACCTGCGTCCACACGGAGGTGCCGAGAGGACTCGGCAGCTGCGGAAGGTCCTGGAAGATGGGCGACTCCACTTCCAGCCCCGCAGTACCTTCCGAAGGTACTATTGTACTGCGCTGCACTGCGCTGAGATTCACCTACAAACCCACCCACCCTGTTGTTGGATGCAAGCACCTGCCACCACGCACCCACCTGCCACCAGTCACCCACCTGTGTCCAGACAAATGTTCCCAGAGGGGACGGCAATCTGGGCAGGTCCTGGAAGATTGGCGACTCCACCTCCAAGCCGGCAGGCGAGTACTGCGCTGAGCGCGTCCAGTCTGTGAAGGGCTTTAAGCCCAGCTCGTCCGTCAGAGCGAAGATGTTCCTGTAGGGGTACCAGAAGCCTGGGGGGGGGAAGAGTGGAGAGGTGTGGATCGGAGGGTTGGTTGATACTAGAGCAGGTGAGAACGCCAGCAGGCGAGTACTGTGCTGAAAGCGTCCAGTCAGTGAAGGGCTTTAAGCCCAGCTCGTCCGTCAGTGCGAAGATGTTCCTGTAGGGGTACCAGAAACCTGTGGGGGTGGCGGAGAGGGGGAGAATTGACACGTGCTTTCTCTTCCGAGCGCATCCATTCTGTAAAGGGTTTTGAACCCAGCTCATCTGTTAGCGCGAAGATGTTTGTACAGGGGTACCAGAAACCTGAGGGAAAGAGAGAGAGTTGACATGATTGTATGGTACTTTGCAAGTATCAGTGAAGGGCTTCAGCCCAGCTCGTCCGTTATAGCCAAGATGTTTTTATAGGGGTACCAGAAGCCTGGTGGGGGGCAGGGGGAAGAGTTGACAGAGTGCCCGCACCATGACTCCCCAGCCTCCACCGGCTGCCCTTTCTGCCATGAACTGCAACCAGTTTATCAAAGACACACCACACCACACCACACCAGTTCGTCTCCTCGTCCATCCCCATACATCCCTTCTCCCCATCACCCACCGTGAATTCCCACCTTCACCGGATCCCATTCCCTCATGAACCGCTATCACTGCATGAGTCACACACCCACCAAGCATTGTCCCCTGATCCGTCTCCACCCCTCTCCACCCGTCTGCACCCATCCCCAACCATGTATATCACCCCTCACCGCACTTCACCGCACTTCACCACACGCACCGTGAATGCCCACCTCCACGGGCTTCCCCTTGTCGCTCCGCCAACCCGCCACCAGCCCGCCCGGCTGCCGCCCCGCCTCCAGCAACGTCACGTCGTACCCCTGCCAGGTCATCGCCGTGCCACGTCAGCACGGGGGACAGAATTCACGCCGCAAATTGCGCTGATAGCTAAGTTTACTTCAATCCTACTCACGAGTGACCGTGGCGACAATGACGAATATGCTTGAAGCTACGGAATACCGTCTTCGATTCACATCCCAAAGTCTCCACTCGGGGCGTTGTTTCGTGAGGTGGTGCGCGGCGCCGAGGCCAGCCCACCCCGCGCCGATCACCACCACCTTCCTGCCGTCACTGCCGCCGCTTTCCGCGCTCACTCCTTTCTCTGTGCTTCATTCCAATTCAATATCGAAACCCTGATTTGATTGCACATGGGGTTCTAACTTACATTAGCGCTGCCTTCTGTCATGGCGTATGTTCGCAACGCGACGACATCCATTCGTACATACATGCACTGTGCAAGGCGGCGTTCATGACTGGACAGCTGTCAATGCCAAAAAATGTCTTGCCGCACCATGCGTGTCATTTGGTCGGTCAGGCATCGTGTTTGCCTCCTCCCCAGTAACATTCTTGTGGTCAGCAGCGACAACTGTTTTTTGCGAAAGCAGCCCCTCATCCTTGCCTGGTCTGCGACTGGTAGACAACCTTGGCGAATGTAATTGGCGTCGGTATGTGGTCTGCGAAATACTTCACAGATTTAAAATTACACGGAGTTACCCCAGCGAGGCCAAGAAGGGAAGAACGCGGCTGCTGAAGTGGAAAGCTCCTGTCTCCCAGTCACACCTCCATTCGTCTCGTCTCGTCTCGAGGCTTCCCTTCAGCCTCGAGATTCCCCTCTTGATAAACGGATAAACGATAAACGGATTGTAAGACAGAACCAAGGGAGAGTTATGGGATGAACAAGGTCTTCAAGGCAGAAGTTACCGAAGGAGAGTTCCACCACAATTGTTCACATTTCTTGCGGCGATTGTAATGACTGCGATTCGTAGGCATGGCGAGACTTCGTACGGTACCAGGTCCGGCCCTAAAGCGAGTATCGAAGCGAGCGTATTCGGAAGCGTAGCTCATGCCCTCCGCCTTTTGTCCCTCAGATCCCCCGAATCTGACTCCGTGCGATCTCACTGTGCTGTAGTCAGCGGCATGCTCGGTCGCTCTGCAGCTGCATGTGAAGGACAGCGGGGCAGGCTTAGACTCCACGTCAGTCTGATTGTGTGCTCGAATCTCAGCGACCGCAGCTAGCTCCTCCCTATATCAAGGGCCACACATAACCGGCCACTCGTCCGGCTCTTCCGCATCAACTGCGTCGTCAAGAATCTGACTCCGCGCTACGTCCTTTCTTTTTCCGAAGCGTCCTTCTGTCCGCATGCTTGACACGTCACATTTAATTCTTCCCCTCCCGCCCGTCCATTAATTGACGCAATAACAAGCCACCATTTCAAGGCGGAAGTTTCCCGCCTCGGCCCTGCAGTCCAGCCCAGAAGTTGCTTCTCAACACGCCTTCCTGTTCTCTAGTTCCGTGACGCACACGCTTTTTAACGGTCCTCAATTCTCTTGTTTGCACGCCCCGTGCCAGCTGTACAGCCTTTAACAAACGGGCGTCCAACTGGTTGCTCCCTGCAGAAAGCGGCAGGCGGGAGTCGAAGAGCGGGAAGCTGCTCGAAGCAGCAGGCAGGCACTAGAAGCAGCCAGCAGCACGGCAAGGACTAGAAGCATGCCCGCCTGACTGCCGTTAGCCACTCTCTCGTTTTGGACCTGTCTGTCTTTCTGTTTGTCTCGTTCTGTCCGTCTTCACGTGGCGAGAGGGCCTTTCCTACGCCATTCCCTAAGCCCCATCCGAGGCGCCATTCCCTAAGCCCCATCCGAGGCGCCATTCCCTAAGCGCCATGCCTGCGAGGTGGCTATGGAAGTTGGTGGCTCCGCGCCTGTCTCCCCGCGAGGCCCTCAATCGCGACTCTTCTTCCGCGGAGGGGCGGGAGGGGGGAGCACGTGAGGGGCGGGAGGCGGAAGCACGCGAGGAGACGGGAGGGACACCACGTGTCATTCGCTACCACTGCGATTGTTTCCACGGATGGCCAACGGCAGCAGCAACAGCAGCAGAAACAGCAGCTATGGCAGAAGCAGCAGCAACAGGAGCAGCAGCACTTTGACTATAGCAACTCACGCGATAGACGGGGCGAGACAGCCGTTGATTGCAGCACCATGAGTAGCGGATTCAACGGCGTAGGTCTCTTTGAATCAAGCCTTGCGTCATGCACGCCCTCTCGCCTCGATGCGTCCGGCAATCCCGTTCCGAGGTCACGCGCGGCTGCTGATTCGCCCAACGAGCCGCCCTCGACGTCCAATTGGCGGGAATTAGGGGGCGTAGCGCGAGCCACTAGGGGTCCTCGAGAGCGTGGGGGAGGTAACTCTTGAAAGCGTGGATTTGCAGCAAGTGCGGGAGCGGCGGCGCCAGAGGAAGGAGCAGCGCGCGCTTCGACAAGCGGCGGCGGCGACCGCGAATCTAATGGGGCGGTCGACGACTGGGAGCAGTAGCTCGGAGAATTTGGCGGTTTTCACGGCGGGGGTTGCGGACTCGGACTCAGCAGCCGCGACGCCGCGGGGGCCGAGGCAGCGAAGCTTAACGACGTCCGCCGTCGGCGGAGTGTACGATAGCAAGAAATTAGGAGACGTCATGAGATTAGGTAGCGGATCTTACGCGGGGAGGCGCGCGGCGATAGGGGGGCAACGAAGGCTCACGCGGAACGCGAGCAGGAGCGCGATGTCCGCCGGCCGCCCAGCCCCGGGTGGGCAAGACGGACGGTTGGTTGGGGGACGGGGAAGGACGCGGGGGAGAGCAGGGGGGGGGAGCTGCAAGGAAAGCAGGGGGGGTCGCGCGCGCAGGCAGCGGGAAAGGCGAGGGGAAGTCAGGCGCGGAAGCGGAAGATTACAAGAGCGTGGGGCAAATGGATGCGCACGCGCGTTCACAAAGGCAAGAGATGCGCGGGCAGCGGGGAAGGCGGGGGGAGCGGACGCCGCATCGCAAGGGAGAGCCCTTGTAAGGCGCGCCACTTTTGGAGGAAGCTGCCAGGTGGCTTCGACAGCGAGCGCGTGGTGTGATGACGTGGCAGCGGGAAGCGGGAAAAACGGGCAGCAAAGAATTACAAGAGAGCAGCGACAGCAGCAGCAGGAAGGGAGGGAATAGCAGCAGCAGCAGCAGGAGGAGCAGTGGCAGGAGGCGGAGGGGAAGAGGGAGGCGCGCGAGGGAGGGAAAGGCGAAGGGAAAGGGGGAGGAAAGGGACGAGGAGTGGAGGTTAGGCGGGAGAAGCCATGGCTCGAGTGGAAACCGGCATGTTCGGGCATGGGAATCACAGTGGATGTAACCATGGGGTGGTAACCACCTTCCGCATGTGGGGCGCGGCTCAAGACCTTGCAAGCGCTCCACATGGCCTGTGTGACCCTGCTGCTGCTGCTGCGGCTGCTGCTGCTGCTGCTGCTGGTGATGATGATGATTCTGCTGCTGCTGCTGGCGTTACTGCTTGTGGTGGTGACAGCACCAGATCCGCTGTTGGCAGTTATGAGAGGGGCGATGGCGCTCTGTTAACCAGCGTGGAGAAATACTCGAGCTTCAGCGACGTGGGCGCGATTGCATCACGGGGCGCAGAAGCCACCGCAGAGACAGCAGCGCCTTTGTGTGTCGCGCCGAGGCGTATGCTAGACGCGCTCTCAGAGGCTATAGCTACCGGCCTGGCGTCCAGAGCTGTGACGTTCCTTGCCGACCAGATTTCGTCCGGCCAATGGGATGCTCCGATGCCTCCCCTGCTGCTGCACCAATCAGAGGCTCAGCCTGAGATTCGGTTGGATTGGTGCTGCTGGTGCTGGTGATGCTGCTGGTGCTGAGGGCAATGAGTCCATTACGTGTAGCTGCTGGTGTGGAAGCCACGTCAGCGGATGACATGGCAGATGCTCGGGTGGCACTGATGCTGTTGCTGCATCATCTTCCTTTATGCTGCTGCTGCTGGAGCTGGGGTGCCGCTTGTGCTTCTGCTGTGAGATACATTTCAGTTTCAAGTGTGGACCACTTGAAGGCAGCAGCAGCAACAGCAACAGCAGCAGCAACAGGCGAGGAACGACTTGCTACACCCTGTACCCCCTTATAGACCTGGTCCAAGATGAGCTCACAATAAGCGACAGCAGCAGCCCGTACGATCCAAGCACCTTTGAGAAGGCATTGTTATCCATCCCCACCCCTTTCAACCCCACCACTACCACCACCACCGACAGCAGCAGCAAGCATTTGCCCAGTGAATTGACTAGCATCCAGACATCCTCGAGCAGGTGTTACAGATGGGGTAACCGGGCGGTTGAATGCGGTAACCAAAGGCGCTGGTCCGGGGCGAATGAGCATGCGAATGAGCCATCCCGGGAGGAGGGTTGGCGTTACGGGGAGGGTGAGCATAACGGGCCGATCTAGCAACAGCTTGGGTCGACCCGGTACTAGCAGGGGCTTGACCCAACCCGTTACTCTGGCAGTGTTAACAGAAGCAGCACAATTAGGGCAAGTCCTCTTAGTCGGGAGAGCACTGGGAGAGGAACCCCTGTGGTTACACCTCATGCTGGTAACACAGGTGGTAACTCAGGTGAAATTGCAGGTGAAAATTCAGGTGGTAGTTCAGGTGGTAATCAGCCCCCTGTCACAAGTCCACCCAGTGTCACTGCTCCAGCTGGTAACCCTTTTACAACCCACGCTGGCAACCCTGTGTTTAGCCGTAGTGGTAACCTGGTTACCCACCACCACTGGGCGTGTGATCACCGGTCCGCAGCAACGTGACAGGAAGACCATCTATTTCCGGGCGGCATCTATTTCCGGGCGGCCATCCATTTCCGGGGCGGACGCGTCTATTTCCGGGCGGCCATCCATTTCCGGGCGGCCATCCATTTCCGGGCGCCATCCATTTCCGGGCGCCGTCTATTTCCGGGCGACCATGTGAGGGGTTCAGTGTGCGACCCAGACGAAGGTGCAGCATGGTGTGGGCGGCAGGGGGAGCAGGAGGTGGGGCGGGGAGGCGGAGGAGGAGGCGGGGGGCTGAGGAGCTATCTACTAGACCCGAGGCAGCAACCAGCAGTACCAGCAGCATGTGCAGCGGCAGCTTAGCAGCTCGGTGCAGAGCGGTGGAGAGCGTGGACGGGCCAGGGGATGAACAGGGATGAGGAGGGAGGAGGAGAGGAAGGAAAGAGGGGTGTGGGAGGCAGAAGGTCTTGCCTTTCGTCTCGGGTTTGGGAGTGCGCAAGGAGGGCTAGGAGGGCAAGGGGCAACAACGCTGAGTCGTGCCAGCCTGGGCCTGGCACGTGCTGACTCACGCATGGGATCGCTGACGCCGAGTGACAGGTCAGCGCTCGATGAGTCGGTGTTTGTCGGCAGTAATTGCCACCTGGCGACTTTGGGCAGCGCACTGGCAGGAGAAGCTGTTGGTGGGGCCCCTTCTCCTGCTGACGTGGCACTTTCTTCGGCCTTACCCATTCTCGCTGCTGCTGCTGGTGCCACCACCACCGCTGCTGCTGCACCGAACGAACCTTTGAAAGATTCTCCAGAACCTGTCAACGAGGCCGCTTCGGCCGCAGCAGCCAGAGTTGCCGAACCTGCTCATTCCATTTCCGCATACAGTCTCGGGTGACTATACCGAGCTGGGTGCGCCTGTAAAGAGGACAAGGCAGCAGGGCAGGACCGGTTAAGAAAAGAGGTGGCGGAGTGGAATGGGGAGTGGGAGGATGCAGCAGCAGGGGGTGTGTCACTGGTCTATGAGGGGCAGCGGAGTGGGAGGGGGAGGTGTGATGGAGAAAGGGGTGGAACAGTCAGGTATTGGAGCACGGTGCAGTCAGTGGGCCAAGGTACACTCAGCGGTTAAGCAAGCAGCATAGCCAGAAGCACAAGCCAGCAGCACAGCCAGCAGCAACAGCCAGCAGCACAGCCAGCGTCATTCCCTTCAGCACGCGAGCCAGCAGCACAGCAGGAAGCACAGGGCAAAGCATAATGACAGCAACAGCAGCAGCGCCCTCACCACCAGCACCAGCAGTAACGGTCCACAAGGACGGCCTACCCGCCGTCCACCCCGCCGCCGCTCTCCCACTGGCCGACAGTTGGTGATCTGCCTGTGGTGCCTGCTGGCTGGACTTGCTCTCATTGCCATTGTGCTTCTCATCGGAATTCTCGCCATGGGAGGGGGTCCGGAGGCGGGGGGCGGAGGCAGGGGCGGCGGCAGGGGAGGCGCAGGGGGAGGCGCAGGGGGGAATGGCGGCTGGAGTGGGAGATGGAGTGTGCTCTGGAGTTCTGGGCGCAGGAGAGTCACCCGCTGCTGCAGCGCTGTATTCTTATCAGCACCACCAGCAGCACCACCAGTACCAGCAGCAGCAGTACCAACAGCAGCAACGGCAGCAACAGCGAGTGCAGTTTGGGTTTGGCTTGCAGGTAAACGTGGTCTGAGGGGGGGGGGGACTTGCTATTAGAATCACCCTTCATCCTTACCTAGCGCTCTTTCACTGTTTTTTTCAACATGCTAAACCGTCTCCTCCTACACTGCTACCTGCTGGAAAATGTCTGATGATCGCATGTTTGGTTTGTCTTATACTCTGCTTGCAGGTCTCCGTCGTGTGCGGGGGCTATTGTTCTGAGTCGACTCAAAACACATGCGGGGGCTATTGTTCGCAATCACCCTCGTGACGTGCTGCCTGTGGGCGATGTGGGAGGTGGCAGAGCGCATGGAAGTGAAAGTGATTGTTGGTCCTCATATTTTAACTCTCTGATTCTCTCTTTGCAGGTGTCTGTGGTGTGTGGCGGCCTGCTATTCGCAATCGCCCTGGTGACGTGCTGCCTGTGGGCCATGTGGGAGGTGGCAGAGCGAATGGAAGCTCACACGGCGAAGCACCTCACGGAGCTGGCTGCTGCCAGGGCCACAGCAGGAGGGGGGCAGTACCGGGCCCAAGAAGGAATTTCTCGGATGCATCTCGCATGAGATTCGGACTCCCAATCAACGGGATTAATAGGTGAGTGCGCAGCGTGTGTGGGAGTAGAGAGAGGGGACAAGCCGCGCCAAAGGAGTACAGAGGAGTCTCGAGAGGGTGCATTTTTCACAAGATTCGCACCCCAATCAACAGGATTATAGGTGAGTGCGCAGCGTGTGTGGGAGTAGGGGTGAGTCCGCTGCTCTCCCTTCCTTCCTTCCCACACCAACCTCCTGCTCTTCCCCCCATCCCCCTCCCCCAGATCAGGCATGCTGCATCTGCTGGTGGAAGAGTGCGAGCCGGATCAGGATCAGAGAGACACAATCAACACTAGTACAGGCGCCACTCCTTTTCCTTCCCACCCACATCAACCTCTTGCTCCCCCTTGTCCCCTTGCATGTTTCTTCCCCAACAGGCATGCTGCAAATGTTGGTGGAGGGAGTGGCGACCTGGATTAGGAACCAGAGAGACGCAATCAACACTGTGCTGCTCTCCATTTCCTTCCCTCCCACCCACACCAACCTGCGCTGCTCTCCATTTCTTTTCCCTGTCCCCCTTCCCTCGAACAGGCATGCTGCAACTGTTGGTGGAGGAGTGTGAGCTAGCTAGACCAGGATCAGAGGGATGCGATCGACGCTGCGCTGCTCTTCCCTTGCTCACCCCCGTATGTCGCCCTCCTCGTTCTCGACCCCCAACAGGCATGTTGCAACTGTTAGTCGAAGAGTGTGAGCTAGCTAGACCAGGATCAGAGGGATGCGATCGACTCTGCGCTGCTCTCCCTTTCCTTTCTCTGGCACCCACCTTCTGCTCTTTCCCTGTCCCCCTTCCCCGTGTTCCTCCCTTCATCAGGCATGCTGCAAGCTATTAGTCGAAGAGTGCGAGTTGGATCAGGATCAAGAGACGCAATCGACACTGCGCTGCTCTCCTGCTGGACGCTCACTGACTGGCTGGCAAAGTTTGTCTATTCTGAGGTAGGTATATCTACCGCGCTCTCCACTGCTGGGAGCAGTTCCCACCTGAGCGGTAACAGCGTGCGACTGGTACAGTAACAGCTACAGTATCAGTAACCGTAACGTCGGCGGTAACGGTAACAGTGGGAGGAGGAACAGTAAAACACTCTGAGTGGCAATCGCGCTGGTGTGACTCAAGGCCCACGTCAGCAGTCCTGGTGGGACGCCAGCAAGGGTGGTGTTCCTGTTTCTCGCTCGGGCAGTGGCGGCAAAAAGTTTTCCTCTTGTTCCCTGCGGCTGTGAGGGTTTCGGGCAGGATCAGCCGGACGTTTTCGGGCAGACGAGAGGATCTGGGGCGGAGAGCGTGGAGAGAGAGAAAGGGAGGCTTGCTGAGGGGAGGGGAAAGAGAGAGAGAGGGAGAAGGAAGGGGAGAAGGAGAAAGGGGGAGAAGTACTGAAGGAAGGAGAGAGGGAGGGTGTGAGTGGGAAGCAGAGGAGAATGTCTAGGGTAATGGTCTAGAAGGAAAAGCTACCAGAGACCTGCAGGGGCAAGAGCGGACAAGGCTGCTGAAGCAGCAGCGGTGGCGGCAGCAGCAGCAGCAGCAGCACAAGCAGCAGCAACCAGCAGCAGCAGCAGCAGCAGCACAAGCAGCAGCAGCAGGGCAGCACCATCAGCAGCAGCACCAGCAGCAGCCGCAGGGATAAAACGATGAGCGGTGGCTGCTGATTGGTCTTCTGGCGCTGCTGCTGATGGGGCCTGCTCAGCTGCCACTGCTCTTGACCCTGTGCCGCCCCTTGCTGTGACTGCCGCCCAGCAGGCGAATGTGGACACCAGCAGGCAACGCGGTTTCAGGGTGCAGTGAATGTGACAACCAGCAGGCAAGCGGTTCAGGTGCGTGAATGTGGACAGGAACCAGAATGAACCTAAGCCCTCTGGGAACCTCCTCCTCTGCCTCCACCCCTTCCTCGCTTTCCCTCTCCACCTCCTCACTCGCCCCTTCCCGTCCTTCACAGAACCCCACCCTCCTCGTCCCATCGTTTCCTGAAGCTTCACGACCGTCACAATACCCCCTTCTTCTCCTCTGGCATCACACAAGCTCCCACTGCCAGTCCCCTCCTTCCCTCCCACCCACCTTCCCACCACTCCTCTCACTCCTTCCACCTATTCCCTCCTCCCCCATGCCCGTCCCTGCCTCCCCTCTCCCCTCCTCTCTCACTCCCGTTCTCTTTCCACCTCCTCCTCCTCATCCTCCCTCGCGCTCTCGTCCCCACGCCTCGTTCCATCCCTCCTTCGGCTAACCCCTCTGCTGCAGCAGCGACCATTGCTGCGGTAGCAGCAGGAGCAGGGCGAATGATCCTCCCGTTATTGCAGTGAGAGGATGGGAGGCGGGAGTGCTGAGACCAGAATTAGAGAGGAGAGGGAGGATTGGGGAGGAGGGGGCAACGAAGTTGCTGTTGGCGCTGCTAGAGCAGCTCTGAGAGCTCTGAGGAGCTTGCCGGCACAGTAGGGACAGATGCAGGAGGGAGGGGAGGCAGCAGGAGGGAGGAGAACAACAGGAGGGGGAGAGGCAGCAGGAGCAAGCGAATCTGCGGGGATGAGGGGCAGGTCCTTCCGAGCCAGTTCTCAGGTTCGGTGGGGCGCAATTCCAAGCCTCTCACGGCCGTTTATCAGACCTTTGGTCAGTCCGAGGCTAGACCAGAGGCAAGGAGCCAGAGGAGAGGCTCGGACCCCAGAAGCTAGGTTTGGAATCGGCCTGGGAGGTCTGGAGGTGGCAGCTTCAGCAGCAACTTCTTCGGCAACAGCCGTGGCAGCCTTATCAGAAGCAACTGCAGCGTCTGAAGCATCAGGTGCGGCAGGAGCAGCAGAAGCAGCGGCAGCAGCAGCATCAGGTTCGGCAGGAGCAGCAGAAGCAGCGGCAGCAGCAGCATCAGGTTCGGCAGGAGCAGCAGAAGCAGCGGCAGCAGCAGCATCAGGTTCGGCAGGAGCAGCAGAAGCAGCGGCAGCAGCAGCATCAGGTTCGGCAGGAGCGTCTGTACTCCCGAGGCTTCCGTCCCCGTTCGGCAGAGGGTGGAGCAGCAGGTTCGGCGGTGTTCCGATCCTTGACTCCTGCTCGGTGGGGGGAGTCGGGCAAGAGAGCCTCTGCTGCAGCAGCAGCAGCAGTTGTGGCTGGGTCTCCTACTGGTATCACCACTGATAAGACCAGTGGTGCTGGGGGACTATTCTGCTATTGCTGCCAAACTCTGGTGCTGGCGGTGATGCTGGAGTTAGTGGTAATGCTGGGGATGCTCCTCCTGCTGCTGGTACCAGATTTTTTGCTGCCTCTGCATCAGCAGCAGCAGCACAGGCAGAGGAACCAGCAGGGCAACATGTGGCTGATAGTGATGATGTTGGTAACCAGCCTGGTAACCAGTCTCCGCAAAACCTGGCGTGGTACAGTGGTGCTGGTAACCAGCCTGGTAACCAGCCTGCTAACCAACCTGGTAACCAGTCTGGTAACCAGGCTCTTGGGGCTGTGGGGTGTGTAAGTGAGGGAGAGGGGCCTGGTGCACGGTCTAGTGCCCATGGTCAGGGCCTTGTTTCTCCTGACAGGAGTGCTGCTTCGGAATCTACTGGCTACTGCTGCTGTTGCTGCTGCTGTTGCTGCTGCTGAAACAAGAGAGGATGTGGGGTACGTGAGCGGTGATAGCGGTTACGCCAGTGGTGCTGGTGGTTATGTCAGCGGTGACGCTGGGTATGTGAGCGGTGACAGCGGCTACACCAGCAGTAGTTCCACTGGGTGGCAGGGGGTTGGCTCGAGGGAGGGGTGTGGTGGGTGGAAGCAGCAGCACAAGCAGCACAAGCAACACCAGCAGCAGCCAGCGTTCTGGGGGTGGTAAGTTTAGCAGAATGGGCAAGTACCGGATTGGCAGCAGTCACAGCACCAGCAGCCTTGGCCTGCAGCATTGTCAGTAAAGCGAAGGTGGTTGTGGGTGATAGTAAGCGGAGCAGGGTTGCTGCAGGCGATAGCAGCAGTGGTTTCGGCGGTGTGAGTGTGACTAGAGCTGCTACAGATAATAGTAACGTTAGCAGGATTGTGAGTAAAACGGGTGATAGCAGTTTCAGTATATCAAGAGCGGCTACATCTGGCAATAGCGGTAGCAGGACTGTGATAAAAACGAAAGCTCCTATAGGTGGCAGTAGCGGTATCGGTTTGACTAGGGCTGCTACGGATGAGAGCAGCGGTAGCAGGACTGTGAGTATAAACGAGGGCTGCCACAGGTGATAGTAACGGTAGCAGGACAGTCAGTAAAGGGTTGCAGAGTTGGAAGGAGAGGAGGAGAAAGGAGAGGGAAGGGGTACCCTTCTGCTTCTCACCTGGGCATAGCCTGGTGCTGCTGGTAGCAGCAGGGAGGTTTGTGTCGGGGGAGGTACAACTGGGAGGGTAAAGCTGGGGAAGACTTGTGGGGTGGAGGGGAGGTGGTGTCTGGGAGTGGGTTGGCTGCTACCCCCTCCTCCTGGTCCTCTGAGATGGATCTTCTGATTGGTGGACGGTGGGAGGGGATGGTGGGAGAGGAGAGGGGGAGTGGAGGAATTGCGTTAAGAGGGGAGGGGAATGAAGGAGGAAGGGAATTCGTGAAGGATGGGAGCGAAAGAGGCGAGAGGGGAAGAGGGGAGAGGGGGAGGGAGAGGATGCAGAAAGGGGGGAGGAGGTGGAGATTAGACGAGCCAAGACTCTGGAAGCCGACTGGTCGGGCGACGAGCGGGACAAGAGGAGTGAACGTTCGCAGAAGCAGACGAGGAGGGGCGGTCAGAGGGGAGGAGGGGGAAGGAAGGGTGAGGGAGCAGAGGTTGGGAAGCAGAGCGCGGTTTCCCAGATATGGTGGTGGTTGAGGAGCAAGGGGGGCATGGAGCCCTTCCAGGTTCAAGCAACTTGAAGGGTACGGATGGGTACACGAGGGGTTCAGATGGGTACTTGAGCAGGTCCCAGGCAGCACAGCCAGCAGCAGGAGTCAGGCCCAGTCGCACCGGTTCCCATCCCCTTCTGGTAGCTGGAGCCCTGCTCTCCCCACTGCTGCTGCTGCTGCTGCTGCTCTTCCGCTTCCCCGTCCTCTTCTCCCTCCTCCTTGCCCTTCTCCTCTGCGTGCGTTCCACCTTCCACTCTCACAGCTACTGATGTTGCACCTACAGCACCTGATGAGAATCTTCTACCTGCTCTTTCACCTGAATGCACGCATTGCCCTGCCCTCCCTGCATCCTTGGCCGCCTCCTCTTTCTCGCCTGCCGCCTCTCCCCCTGCTCACATCACTGCTCCCACGGTGAGCTATAGGGAGCTAGCAGCAGCTGCTACTGCTGTGCCTGCGGCGGATTTCTCAGCTGGACACGAAGCAGTTAAGGTTCCAGTGGCTGGGGCTGTAGCAACACGGGCTGTACCGTTGCCAGCGGCACCAGTCCTTGACTGACCTGGTACAGGAGGAGTTTGCTGCTGCTGCTACTGCTGCTGCTACAAGCTGCAATAGCTGTTGATGACATTTATGATGAAGCAGAAGAGTGTGATGAGAGGGAGGAGGAGAGGAGGGAGCAGGAGGGTCAACGAGTGGGAGAGGAAGCAGGGAGAGCCGCTGAAGACAGAGGTAGCAGCGCGGGGGGGAGAGAGGACAAGAAGGCAGGAGACGCGGGGGGGTCCAGGGCTCCTGGACCTCAAAACACCAGGGTCTGAAACAGGTGAACCACCACCAGGGGCGGCCAAATCTCCCCCGAAACCACGCGCGAAACCTCCTCCGAAACACCGCAGGCCTCCTCCGCGGATTCAAATCAAGGCAGGGCAGTGGACGAGCTGAGCCAAGCAGGGCAGGTGGACGAGCCGAGCCAAGCTCCCGCCCCGCCACTCTCCCCAAGGACCCTCACGGCACGGTTGAAAGGGCGACGGGTACTTTTGGTGGATGACAACGCGGTGAACCGCAAGGTGGTGCTGGCGAAGCTACGGCCGTAGACGGCATGGTGGGCGTGCAGGCAGAGAATGGCTGTGTTTGCAGTGGAGAAGTTTTTAGAGGGGATGAAGGAAGGCGGAGACGCGGGTGTAGGGGGTGGGGGTGGTGGGGGGAGTGAGGGAGGTGGAGGGGGTGAAGGAGGTGGAGGGGACGGGTTTGTGTGCGTCTTATGGACCTTCAGGTGTGTGCTCCTGGCTTTCTAACCCATCTACACCCACCTACACCCACTTCCCCTTAGCACTTCAAAATTCCCACTCCCACTTCCCACTTCCACTTCCCACCTCCCACCAACTAACACTGCTTTTTAGGTGTTTCATTTGAGCAAATCCCAGCTTCTGTGTCCTCCATCCCTCGTCTCTCCACAACCATTCTCGTTGCTCTGCAGATGCCGGTGATGGACGGCTATGATGCAACCATCGAAATCCGACGGCTGGAGGAGCAGGTGGGTCGGCATCGAGTTCCGATATTTGCCATCACGGCCGATCTTGTGGCGGGAGCTCCTGAGAGGTGCCGGGAAATTGGGATGAATGGATTTATGACCAAGCCTCTTTCCAACGATCAATTGAAAGCATCGCTTGCAGTGGTGGCTGCCAATGTGTGAAACATTTTTTTTCCACCCTTGCATAAGGTCTTCAGTGTATTTTTATGATTTTTTAGCCTCGTGCTTATGGATGGTGTATTTCGTTATTGAGATATGTAAGGAAAATCTCATTTTCCTTACTTCGCGTCCCTGCTCAACGCGTACATCACTGTAGCGCCACAGTCAGCACCGTTACCACTCGCAATCCTCGCATCGACAATCCGCCCGCCACCTTCGCACGTCGCACCCCGACCTCACGGCTCGGCGGGTAACCCGCGCTCCGGGCCTCCGCTTCGACACTTTTCCCAACCTCAGTCCCAGGCCCGTCGCGCGACAACCACAGTCCATTACCGTTACCACTGTAGTTTCGCTATATATTCTTCGCTCATACCTTCGCTCATTGTACTCTTGCTTCGATAGTGCAATTCTCGTTCATTCACTCAATTGCACTCATAACACTTGGTATCCGAGCCTACGATCTCTTCTCGGACCGCACCCACACCTTCGCTTCCCCACTATCTCAGTTTTGGGGGGGGTAGACGTCTCTCAGCGACACAGCACCGCCGCTCGTAGTGCTCTCTCGTAAGCACGCACGGCCACGACTGAGGCTCTCGCTGAGCTCGCCCGACACCCCCGCCATGGCCGAATTCACGCTCGCCACATTGACGCAGGAGCAGCTCGACCGTCTGGTACGCCAACTCGAAGATTCGGCGCTCGAAATTGCGATGCTCACCGCGGAACGTGACTCCGCGCGTCAGCAATCAACGGTGAACACTCCAGCAGCACCACACGCACCAACAAATGCACCTGCACAATCGGACGAGCCAATCGTCATCTCGTCCGGGACACCAACACAACACGACAGCGTGGAGCGTGGGACAGCTCGGGCGCAGCCAGTGATAGCGCCGCCCAACCAATGCCTGGCATGGGAGGAAACAGGGGCGCGCCAAGCCCGCGGGAGCCTCACGAAGCCCGTCGGCATGTGGAGTTCGCGGCGACAAGTGGCGAACAGGCCATCATGGCACCAATGCCACTCAAGCCGCAAGGCCCGCCCTGTTTCGACCCGAGCCAGCGTGGAGGTCCGACGGTTCAATCGTGGGTTTTCACGATGAACGTCTTCTTCGACGCGAATTACGTCGAGTCGGACGCAGCGAAGATTCAGTATGCCGTTTCGCTGTTAAGGGGCCCCGCCATGGACTGGTGGCGAGTCATCGTGACGTCGCCACGCGCCTACGAGCCACCGTCGCAAGAGGAAGGGCCCACGGGTCCAGCTGTCACCTGGAGTTCATTCTGCGAGACCGCCCAATACAGCACGTGGGATGCGTGGTGCGCAGGGCTTCAGGCGCGCTTCGAGCCGATCGCGGCTTCTATTTCGGCGCGTCAGAGATTGCGCACTTGGCGGCAGCTCGGGTCGGTTCAAGATTACACGAGCGGTTTTCTCGCACTTTGCGAGCAGGTCGGCTACATGCACGAAGCGGAGCGGGTGGACCGTTACGTCGGAGGGCTGAAGCCGGATATCTCGCACGAAATCATGCTGCGCGGACTCTCAAACTTCAACGAGATTCTCGCGCTCGCCGAGAAAATCGACATTCTACGCCGACCGAGACCGGGGTCCTACTACGGACATCGTCCTCGGGGACCGATCGAGCACGCCACTGTAAACGCTGTTGCAACGAATGCAGCTGCCGCACCGTTTAAGGGGCGCTGCTTTGCTTGCAACAGGCCGGGCCATCGCAAGAGCGAATGCCCAGAGGAGCTAAGGCGCCGCGGAGCAGAGCAAGGGAGGGAGTCTCAGAGGCAGGGAAACGCCAGCAGTCAGTAGAAGTTGGGCCAACTGCTGACGAGACTGCCTGCTCGCCCAACCGCACTGACCCTCACCGAGTCACAGTACCGATTCACGCCATCGATCGGGCTCGGATGAATAAGGAGGGTACAACGACGGATTGCCCAGTACTGATCCACGGGAAAATACAGGGAGCAGCAGTGAAGATTTTTATTGACGGAGGAGCAAGCCACAGTTTAGTTAATACCGCGACTGCGCGAAAATTACAACTGACACTTAGTCGTTGCTTACCTGAGATCGACGCACGCTTAGTTGACGGCACGCCGCTGGCCATACGGGAGAAGGTGGAGAGAGTAAAAGTTCGCTGCGGGGGAAACTTCGGGTTTACACAGGAAATGCTCGCGACGACATTGGATGGACATGATGTTTTACTGGGACGTGATTGGCTACGACGGTACAACCCACGAATCGACTGGACGACGGGTAGCTGCACTGTGCGAAGTAGCGGTAACTGGGTCATGCTACCTCGCTGGCAGTCGCCCGAGTCTTCAACGGTCCACGTCAATGCCATCACGATAAAACGGGCTGTCGCCGCTGGAGCTGACGTGTACGCAGTAGATATAGCATTAGTAGGAGAAGCGGAGCAGCCGAGCGATTTTCAGAAACTGTTGGCAGCAGTACCGCCCGAACTACAGGAACTGTTGAAACGGTACCCGGGGATTTTTCCAGACGACTTACCGGAAGGGCTGCCACCTCAGCGGGCGCATGATCATAGGATCGAGTTAGAACCGGGGGCACAGCCAACTGTACAGCGCCAGTTCAGACTGACACAGCCCGAGCTCGACGAACTGAGGAAGCAGTTAGATTATTTGTTAGAGAAGCAGTTTATTCGACCAAGTTCGTCACCGTTCGCCGCACCGATACTGTTCACACCGAAAAAAGACGGAGGGTTTCGCATGTGCATCGATTACCGAGCGCTCAACAGGGTAACAGTCAAGTCGCGGTACCCCATTCCCCGCGCCGACGAACTGATCGACCAACTGCGAACAGCACGGGTGTTTTCGAAATAGACTTACGGGGGGGTTACCATCAGATTCGGGTCGAACCATCGGACTGCGCCAAGACAGCATTTAGGACTAGGTACGGGTCGTTTGAGTACACGGTGATGCCTTTCGGGCTGACCAACGCGCCCGCAACATTTCAGATGACCATGAACGAGGCGTTTAGGCCACTCTTAGATAAATGCGTGATAGTTTACCTCGACGACATCCTCGTCTACAGTCGCGACAAGCAGCAGCATTTAGCGGATCTCGAAGCAGTATTTAAAGTTTTAGAGGAACATCGATTACTAACCAAGGGCTCTAAGTGCGAGTTTTTTCGGGACAAACTAGAATTTTTGGGGCACGTTATTTCGGAGGCTGGAGTTGAAATCGACCTAAAGAAGCTGGATACGGTAAAAGCGTGGCGTCCCCCGACGAACATCACGGAACTGCAGAGTTTTTTAGGGTTCGTTAATTATGTTCGTCGGTTCGTCCCCGACATGGCACAGTTGACTGCCCCGCTGACGGATTTACTGCGAAAGGGGGTCGTTTTTACGTGGGGGGAGAAAGAGCATGCTGCCTTCTCTGCCCTGAAAGATGTTCTTTTTCACCGCCCGTCCTGCGCATCGCCGACCCACACCGCCCCTTCGAGGTTGTTACAGACGCAAGCGACATCGCCATTGGAGCCGTACTGCTACAGGACTTCGGCAACGGCCTACAGCCCATCGCATACGAGTCACGAAAACTGCATCCGCCCGAGCGAAATTACCCGATACACGACCGCGAAATGCTCGCGATCGTGCATGCGTTCAAAGTGTGGCGCTGCTACTTGACCGGCGCAGACGTGACAGTACGGACAGACCACCGATCACTACAGTACCTCCGCGCACAGCCCCACCTCAACCCACGACAGATTCGGTGGCTCGATTTCCTCGAGTCAAACTTCCATTACACAGTCACCTATAAAAAAGGAGCCTCGAACATCGCCGACGCACTGACCCGCCCCACTGCCCAGATCCACGCGATACTACTCGCCCAGACCAGCCCGCTACTGACAGGACTATTTACCCACGGATATCAAACGGACCCATTCTTCATAGGAGGAAATTCGCAGCAGTTCGCAGCAGCCAAGGGAGTCTATTACGTAAAAGCCGGGACCGACCGCATCTGGGTACCAGGGTACACACTGCTACGGGAATTACTATTACAGGAGGCACACGACGGGGTTACCTCGGGACATTTCGGGGTAGAGAAAACACGGCAGCAGCTGCAGCGGTATTATTACTGGCCCGAAATGTTGACCGACGTGCAGCGACACGTGGCATCGTGTCCCACTTGCCAGATCATGAAGTCAACACGGAAGCGGCCGGCGGGACAGTTGCAGCCAATCCCACCTCCAGAGCGTGCTTGGCAGCAGGTGACGATGGACTTCGTCACGGGGTTACCGGCCAAGGCGAGTGGAAATGACGCGATCCTGGTCGTCGTCGATCGACTGACGAAAATGGCACACTTCGCAGCCTGCAAAAAAGCAATCACAGCCGAAGAAACAGCCCGCCTCTTCATCTCTACCGTCGTTCGACTGCACGGGATACCAGCATCAATCATCAGCGACAGAGACACGAAATTCACCAGCAACTTCTGGCGGAACCTGTGGCAGCAGTTCGGCACGCGACTACAGTTTAGTTCATCGTACCACCCCGAAACAGACGGACAAACAGAACGGACAAATCAGACCATGGAACAGCTCATCCGGGCCACGTGCGACGACCCAAACACGTGGGAACAGCAACTGCCACTCATCGAATTCGCATACAACAACGCCCCATCCGCCACGACCCAACAGTCACCGTTTTACCTGAATTACGGACAAGACCCAACAGTACCCATGACCCCGAATCCCGACAACCCGGTTCCACGCGCGCAACAGTTCGCCGAAATTTTGCAAGCAGCACGAACCAGGGCAGCAGACGCAATTAAAAAAGTTAACATCATCGCTAAACGCAACGCGGACCGCCACCGCAGACCTGTCACTTACCAGCCCGACGACTTAGTTTTGCTCGACACCCAAAATCTCCGACTGCCCATCACCCCGAAACTCCGCCCCCGATACTGCGGGCCATTTCGCATAAGCCACATGCTTACACCTGTCACCGCCCACCTCCTCCTCCCTGCTGACTGGTACGTCAGCCCCTCGTTCCACGTCAGCCTGCTTCGCCCTTACGTCCCGTCCACGAGCCAACTGCCACGCAATCGCCCAGCCAGCATGACAAGACCACCGACTGAACCAATCATCACCCCCGAGAAAATCCTGAGTCACAGAGTTCGCGACCCTCGAGGAGCCCGAAGGATCGAGTTCTTACTCCGCTGGAAGGACCGTACACCCACCGAAGACAATTGGGTTCCCTTGGACAGAATCGAAAACCACCCCGTCCTCACCGAGTATCTGCGCAGCCGGAATTTCAGGGATGTACACGCACTTTCGTAAGGAGGACCTCCTTAAGGGGGGGGGTAGTGTAAGGAAAATCTCTTTTTCCTTACTTCGCGTCCCTGCTCAACGCGTACATCACTGTAGCACCACAGTCAGCACCGTTACCACTCGCAATCCTCGCATCGACAATCCGCCCGCCACCTTCGCACGTCGCACCCCGACCTCACGGCTCGGCGGGTAACCCGCGCTCCGGGCCTCCGCTTCGACACTTTTCCCAACCTCAGTCCCAGGCCCGTCGCGCGACAACCACAGTCCATTACCGTTACCACTGTAGTTTCGCTATATATTCTTCGCTCATGCCTTCGCTCATTGTACTCTTGCTTCGATAGTGCAATTCTCGTTCGTTCACTCAATTGCACTCGTAACACTTTGTCGGTGCACACGTTCCTTTGCGAGCAGCCATATCCATTGAACCTTGAGCTTGCCTCCGATCAAAAAGGAACTCGCAGCAAGAGGCAACTTAGTGACTTGACTTCCTTCGCCAAAGGCAGAACCGACACCGCCTGACGCTTATAGTGCATTGCTATTACAGTAGTGGCTTATTGGTCACGTATTACCGCCACGCTTGGTACGTGTACGATACTTGTGCATAGGTTCTGCCTTGGATTTCCTATTCAATATAGTCTTTAGAGTCAATAAGCTTTGAGACAAGACGAATCTGATACAATTACGGACGCAGTGAACCAGCTTAGAGCAAAGTTCTGGTCTTCCACATCCAACATGAGTTCCATTATCTAGGCCTAGTTTTCAAGGTGTTTTCGAGCTGTACACCTTGGCCCGGGTCACACAAGTTTGCATCCGCGGTGGTTGTATCGACCGGCGGCTGTAGCGGCGCGGCCGCTTCGGCTGTAGCAACGGTGCCACCAGTCGACTCGTCGGCTTCTACTCGGTCGATCCCACGGCTGTAGCGACGGTTGGCGTTGTCGTATCTACGGCTGTAGTTGCCGGCTTTAGCAAGTTTCAGATTGCTGAAGTGTAGCTGTGGGTTGTGCTACAGCCGTAGGAGCAAGAGGAGTTGAAGCGGGAGTTGAAACAAGAGTTGCAACAGGATTTGAAACAGGAGTTGGAAACAGCAGTTTCTAACGATGGAGCAGCTACTAACGAGTGAACAGCGGGAGGTGCTTATAGCGGTGGATGGAAGCGAGTGTACGTCGCAATCACTACTTTCCTGCTTTCTATCACACACGCACGCACACACGTACGCACACACATGCAAGCACCCAGACCCACATACAAGCACACGCGCATGTTCACTCACGCTCATCTCCCCCCTGTTTCTTCTTCTTCTCCAACCGTCCTTTCACGATCCTCCTCTCGTCCTTCCTCAGTTTCCACCCACCCTCCCTCCCTCCCTCCCTCCCTCCCTCCCTCCTCCTCCCTCCCTCCCTCCCTCCCTCCCTCCCTCCCTCCCTCCCTCCCTCCCTTTCTCCCTCCCTCCCTCCCTCCCTCCCTCCCTCCCTCCCTCCCTCCCTCCCTCCCTCCCTCCCTCCCTCCCCCCCTCCCTCCCCCCCTCCCTCCCTCCCTCCCTCCCTCCCTCCCTCCCTCCCTCCCTCCCTCCCTCCCTCCCTCCCTCCCTCCCTCCCTCCCTCCCTCCTTCCCTCTCTCCCTCCCTCCCTCCCTCCCTCCCTCCCTCCCTCCCTCCCTCCCTCCCTCCCTCCCTCCCTCCCTCCCTCCCTCCCTCCCTCCCTCCCTCCCTCCCTCCCTTCCCCCCTCCCTCCCTCCCTCCCTCCCTCCCTCCCTCCCTCCCTCCCTCCCTCCCTCCCTCCCTCCCTCCCTCCCTCCCTCCCTCCCTCCCTCACTCTCTTCCCTCCCTCCCTCCCTCCCTCCCTCCCTCCCTCCCTAAAGCCCTCCCACCCTCCCTGGCTCCCTCTCTCCTCCCCTCCCTCCCTCCCTCCTCTCCTCCCCCCCTCCCTCCCTCCCTCCCTCCCTCCCTCCCTCCCTCCCTCCCTCCCTCCCTCCCTCCCTTCCCCCCTCCCTCCCTCCCTCACTCTCTTCCCTCCCTCCCTCTCTCACTCTCTTCCCTTCAACAACCAAGTCGCGTCATCTGCCCAATTCACATCATCTGCGCACTGCCGCCCTCTCTCTCACGCTCGCGTCGTCAGCCAAGCGGACTCACATGCTGCAGCAAGCTCGCACGCTCTGCGCACTGTCGGGCGATGCTGCCTCCCTCACTCGCACCCTCTGCGCATCGCCCGACAGTACTCTCTGCGCCGTTCTCTCTGTCCCCCCCTCCCTCTCTCACGCTCACCAACTGCCAACGCTCTCTCCTCTCTGTCTGTCTCACCCCTCTGCCCCGCATGGACACCTCACCTGACTCTCAGCGTGCTCTCCCTGTCTATCTAGCATAACTCCCTGCCTCTTCCACATTTGCAGGCTCAAAGCTCGCGTTCGTTTGGGGCTTTAAGGACCTCATGCGCGTGCGTAGCTGACTGTAATCGTGCTCTCCCTGTCCGCACCGTATCCCTCCCTGCCTTCCTCTCTCGCCCTGCAGGTTCAGAGCTGGCGTTCAACTGGGCGTTGAGGAATTACTGCAAGGCCCAGGATCATGTGCGCCTCATTCACGTGCGCAAGTCATTTGACGGTAAGCAACGTTACGAGAGCGGAGGAAACGGTGAGACGAAGGGTGGTAGAATAGAAGAACAGCCGGTCAGGGGCGTCTAGGTTCTTGTTTCTTTACTTTCCACGTGTATGAAGAAGTGTTTTGAGACATCTCAAAACGCGTCTCAAAAGACGGTGAGACGAAGGGTGGTACAACACAACAGCCGGTCAGGGCCGTCGAGGTTCTTGTTTCTTTACTTTCCTCTTGTTCCCCCTTCCCCAACCCTTTCCTCCCTTTTCCCTCCCCCCCTTTTCCCCCTCTCCCCCCAGACATGGCGGGCAAGCTCCCAGCGGACGCCATAGCAACGCTGGAGGCACAGGCGGAGGCAGCTGCATGCGCTATAGTGATGTTGGAACAGCACTCACTCAGGCATACCAGCTCAGGCACTCAGGCAATAAGCCACTCTTCCCTCTTTTTTTTTCTCCTCCCCCCCTCTTTCTCCCCTCAGACACAGTGGGCAAGCTCCCAGCAGACGTCATAGCAACGTTGGAACAGAGCAGCAGGCAGGCAGGCTTGCCATTTCATACACTAAGACATTGTTTCCTTCTCTTCCCTTTCCTCCCCCACCTCCCCCTACGCTCCCCTCTCCTCTTCCTCCAGTCATGGCAGGCAAGCTCCCAGCGGACGCCATAGCAACATTGGAGGCGCAGGCAGAGGCATCTCAGACTGCTCTTCGTTCCCCCTTGCTCTCCCCCTCTTCCCCCCCCTCTCTCCCCCCAGACATGGTGGGCAAGCTCCCAGCGGACGCCATAGCAACGTTGGAGGCGCAGGCAGAGGCAGCTGCGCGTGCAATAGTGGAGAAGTACATGAAGAAATGCGCTGTGGCGGATGTGAGTGCGCTTATATGGGGTTTGAGTGCGCTTATATGGGGTTTGAGTGCGCTTATATGGGGTTTGAGTGCGCTTATAACAGAGGCAGCTGCGCGTGCCATACTGGAGAAGTACATGAAGAAATGTGCTGTAGCAAATGTGAGTGCGCTTATAGCGGATGTGAGTACGTAAGTTGACGCGTTTAGGTTGAAGAAGCGCGCTGCGGTGGACGTGATTGTGCTTATAACGGATGTGAGTGCGCTTGTACCGGATGAGTGCATCCATGTATGTAGCTTCTGGATTATGTTCTACTAGGGTGTTCTTTTCTGATGGGAGGACAGCAACGGACGAGCATGCATGTCACCCTACCTCAAAGACCCATGCAAATCTTCTCTCCCATGCAAATCTTCTCTCCCATGCAAATCTTCTCTCCCATGCATCACCTCTTCCTGCTCTTGTCCTTTGCCACTCTCCCATACCCTTGCCTGATCACAGTGGCTTTTCTCTGTTGCTTCCCGTTCTCTCCCCTCCCCTCCCCACCTCCTGCCTCCCCCCCTGCCCCTTGGTTTGCTCACCAGTTGGACTGTGACTAGAAGATAGCGGTGGGGGACGAGCGCGAGGTGATCTGCAGGGAGGTGATTCTTGAGGCGCCTCAAAAGCTTCCCCATTCTCCCCCTCCTCCCCCCCCCACCCACAATCTGCGTGCAGCTGGACTGTGACTGGAAGATAGCGGTGGGGGACGAGCGCGAGGTGATCTGCAGGGAGGTGATGCGTGTGTGTGCAGACGTGCTTATAGTCGGCACACGGGGGCTGTCGCCTGTTAAGAAGTGAGCCTCGGGGAGTGATTCGTGAGGAATGAGTCTTGTGAATACACCTGATGCGTCTGACTGAGTGTGTGCAGACGTGCTGATAGTCGGCACACGGGGGCTGTCGCCTGTTAAGAAGTGAGCCCCGGGGAGGTGCGGGTGTGAGTGTGATAATGTATGGAATGGGACGAGCAAGAGGTGTTCTGGGGGGAGGTGGTTTTCAGGGGGGGGATTTCCAGGGCAGTGATGCGTGTGTGCAGACGTGCTGATAGTGGGCGTGCAGAGGCTGTCACCTGTGAGGAAATGAGTCGGGAGGAAGGATTGACAAGCTCTGGTGAGAAGCTCCCTCTGGCGGCTCCCTCTGGCTGGCCTTACGCTCTGGTGAGAGGGAGCTTCTCACCAGAGCGGAGCGGTAAGGTGATGGGACGAGCGAGAGGTGATATGCAGGGAGGTGATGCAAGTGTGTGCTGACGTGCTGACTGACATGCAACATTTTTTCCATGCATGTGACATGTCGGTAACTTGTAAACGCGAGTGCCTATCTCCTCTCCCCCTCTCTCTTTCTCTCCCTGTACCTGCAGAGCTTTGCTTGGATCTGTCAGCGAGTATTGTGCGCACCACAGGTGGGTGGGTCACTTTCGAGAATTCTTAAAAGTGGGTGGGTCCATTATGGCACTCCTCCTGGTGCCATTATGGCACTCCTCCTGGTGCCACAGTTGTTGCCAGTTGTTGCTGTGATGATCGTGAGTGGGTGCGGCACTTGGTGAGCGGGACATCGCCCATGCCCCATCGCCCATGCCCCATCGCCCATGCCCCATCGCCCATGCCCCATGCCCCATGCCCCATTCTCCATGCACCATGCCCCATGCCCCATGCCCCACGCCTATGTATGCTTGGAATGCATTCAACACTCTTCCTGGTGCTGCATGCCCCATGCTGCATGCCCCATGCCGCATGCCCCACGCCCCACGCCTGATGCCGGATGCCCCATGCCTATGTGTGCTTGGATTTCAGTCAAACACTTCCCCTGTTCCTGCATGCCATATGGCTTACACTGACTGTTCCTAATTGCTTCTCCCTATTCCTTCCTCTGTCCCCTCTGCCCTGTCTGTCCCCTCTGCCCACTCTGCTTCCTCTGCTCCCTCTGCGCTCTCCCTGCCTTATTGCCTTCTCTCCCGCAGTGCATGCCCGGTGATCATTGTCAAGGCAAAGGAACCCAAGCCCAGTGCTTAACTCGGTGTTTGACCTCATGCTCCATCTGCTCATCTGCTCCCTCTGCCCCCTCTGCCCCTCTGTCCCCTCCGCCCCATCTCCCCTCCTGCCAGTGCATGCCCGGTGATCATTGTCAAGGCAAAGGAACCCAAGCCCGTGCCTAGCTGGGTGATTGACCCCGTGCCCAATGCCCAGTTTAATTGTTGACCATGGTTTCCGTCCTGCTGCAGCTGGATTTGTGCATAACGTATTATTAACATACATGTATCTACCCGTTATACACAGTCCCTGCTCCTTCATAGCTTCATTTATCCAATCTGTCTTGCCAAATCAGTTGTGGGCTAGAATGATACACACTATACACAGTACTGTTTCCACTCCAATGCTCTTTTCCCTTTGGCGATTCAGAAGTAAGGTCTACCTATGTTAGCAACTACTGGCATTGTCATACTCTGTAATATCTGACTCAATAGCATAATCAGCATCATACATTCCCTCTTCTGGACACACATCTTCTAAGAAGCTAAGTGCCCGCAATAGCAGTTGCTTAGCTGAGAGCCGGAACTTAATAGCCTGAACCTTCTCCTCTGGGAGTTGCAACACAGGGACCCCACATGCCCCTTCACTTTCCCCCACATCTTCTTCCCTCCTGTCACCCCCACCGCTGCCGCTGTTGTCCCTACTGCTGCTCCTACTGCTACCACCACTGTTGCCTCTCCTTCCCCTGTCTCCCATGTCACACGATGCATCCTCTACAAGCGTCTTCGTTAACAGGTTATAATCATCTGTGAACGTGCTCTTGAATCCGCGTAGTGTGGCGCGCAGAATGTTACGTAACACGTCAGCAGCTCGTACGATGGAGCCTGCAAGCATTGCTGAGCGTGCAGCTGCCTCCACTGCCTTACTGTGTGGTCTGTCTTTACCACTACCCTCCCCTGCCCCTGTTGCTTCCTTCCCTCCTTCTACTCCCTCCCCTCCTTCTACTCCCTCCCCTCCTGCTGCGCCCTCCGCTCCTGCTGCTTCTAAGACGGCCAGGTGATATGTCTGCTGTTGCTTGAGAGTGCCACAGGTGACACCGTCTCGAAACACAAGGCGCAGAATGGACTCGGCTAAGACATGGAAATCAAACGCAGGGTCTGAAGGGGTGGAGGGAAGAGAGGCGGAAGGGAGCAAAGAAGAATCACGGATTGCTTGAGAGTGCCACAGGTGATCCCGTCTCGAAACACAAAGCGTAGAATGGTCTCGGCCAGCACTTGGAAGTCAAAGGCAGGGTCTGGGGAGTGGAGAACACAGGGAGAGAAAGCACAAGAAAAGGTATGATTTATCGGTCCTTGAGAGTGCCACAGGTGACACCGTCTCGAAACACAAGGCGCAGAATGGACTCGGCTAAGACATGGAAATCAAACGCAGGGTCTGAAGGGGTGGAGGGAAGAGAGGGGGAAGGGAGCAAAGAAGAATCACGGATTGCTTGAGAGTGCCACAGGTGATCCCGTCTCGAAACACAAAGCGTAGAATGGTCTCGGCCAGCACTTGGAAGTCAAAGGCAGGGTCTGGGGAGTGGAGAACACAGGGAGAGAAAGCACAAGAAAAGGTATGATTTATCGGTCCTTGAGAATGCCACAGGTGACACCGTCTCGAAACACAAGGCGCAGAATGGTCCTGGCCAAGGCAGGGTCTGAAGGGGCGGCGGGAAGAGAGGGGGAAGGGAGCAAAGAAGAATCACGGATTGTTTCAGCGTACTGCCACAGGTGACACCGTCTCGAAACACAAGGCGCAGAATGGTCTGGGATAAGGCATGGAAGTCAAAGGCAGGGTCTGAAGGGGTGGTGGGAAAGGAGAGGGACGGGACAGAGGGGTGAGTTGAAAAGAGAAAGTGGGGTGTCTTGTGCTGCGTGCTGCTTGAGGGTGCATCCGGTGACCCTGTCTCGAGAGGGAAGGGGAGTGACGGGACAGAGGGGTGAGTTGAAAAGAGAAAGTGGGGTGTCTTGTGCTGCTTGCTGCTTGAGAGTGCATCCGGTGACCCTGTCTCGAGAGGGAAGGGGAGTGACGGGACAGAGGGGTGAGTTGAAACGAGAAAGTGGGGTGTCTTGTGCTGCTTGCTGCTTGAGAGTGCATGCGGTGACCCTGTTCGAAACACTAAGCACAGAATGGTCCTGGCTAAAGCACGAAAGTCAAAGGCAGGGTCTGAAGGGGTGGCGGGGAAGGGGAGGGGGTGACGTGACAGAGGGGAGTGCTAGAAAGATAAGGTGGTGTATTCGACTTTTGAGGCGCCTCAAAAGAGTGCTAGAAAGATAAGGTGGTGTATTCGACTTTTGAGGCGCCTCAAAAGAGTGCTAGAAAGATAAGGTGGTGTATGCGCTGCTGCTTGAGCGTGCTGCAGCCTGCACGTGACATGCCATGCCCAGAGCAGCCAAAGCAGCCTGCATGCTAGAGGGAGTCACTTTTGAGAACTCTCAAAAGCGACTCCCACAGAGCAGCCTGCATGCTAGAGGGATTCACTTTTTAGAATTCTCAAAAGCGACTCCCACATAGCAGCCTGCATGCTAGAGCCTTCACTCGCCATGTGAAGTCATGCCAATGGCAGCCAGAGCAGCCAGAGTCCGTGTATCCACATACCCCTCCCTGCCTATCAGAGTAAGTTACCATGTGTTATCAGAGCTGCTAACAAGGTCAAGTGACTTTTCACTCACCATGTGTTGGCATGCCGATAGCAGCCAGAGCAGCTAGCAGCCGTGCATCCACATACCCCTCCCTGCCTATTGCTAGTGCTTCTGAACCTGCCACCGCCCCTGCTGCCATGCCTAGCAGCTGCCGATCCAAGTCGTGCTCGGCTGTGTAGTCCGCCTGCCGAGCCTCCACCGCAGCTATGGCGGCGGTTACCGAAGCTGCAGCCGAGTCCCGGTCGAACGAACCAGTCAGCCACAGGTATTTCTCAGTATAGTCTGATTCATTATTAACATCAGTTCCAGCTACAGTACCAGCATCAGAACCCGTTGTTTCTGCTGCTGCCCCTCCTCCTCCTCCTCCTCCTCCTCCTCCTCCTCCTCCTCCTCCTCCTCCTCCTCCTCCTCCTCCTCCTCCTCCTCCTCCTCCTCCTCCTTCTCCTCCTCCCTCCGTCCCTTCTGCTCCTGATGTGTCTTTATCTCCCATTGATCCTCCTGACGTGGCAGCAAGATATTTCGTCTCGTAGTAGTCAAGAAGTGCATCGGCGTTTTCAAAAAGGACGAACCGGTCAAACGGGTTGTTGGGCGGCACGAAGCCGTACAGCAGCAGGAACTGGGCGGTGTCCATGGACCCATAGCCCACGCTGATTGGCTGGCCTGGAGAGATGACGTCAGCAGCAAAGATGTTGATGTCAGCAGTGGAGGAGTGGATAGTGGGCTGACGTGGCGAAAGGGATAGGGGGGGGGGGAAGGAGGAAGTAATTAGAAGAGGAGGAGAGGGCGGTTTACAAGAGAGGAATAGTATCAGCCATTGATGGTAGTGGACAGAAGGGAGAGGGAGTGAAAGGAGGAAGGAGGGAGAGTAAGCGGGAGGGGATATGGCAGTTGGCCAGGCAGGTAAGGTCGTGTCTGAGTGACTACCAAGAGAACTCTTTCACCTGCAAATCTTTCTCAGTGCTCGAACCTGCCTGAACCTGCCTGAACCTGCCTGAACCTGCCTGAACCTGCCTGAACCTGCCTGAACCTGCCTGAACCTGCCTGAACCTGCACATGACTGCCTGTACCTGCTTGAACCAGGCCATACCTGCCCGTACCCATCGGCAGCTGCCAGTCTGCCGTGTAGTAGAACTCGTGGTTGAAGAGATTCGGGAGGGGTTGCTCACCCACCTGAACCTGTGAGCACCTGCATGTACCCATCCGCACCTGCCAGTCTGCCATGTAGTAGAACTCGTGGTTGAAGAGATCCACCAGCGGCAGCACAATGTGCACCTCCTCCCCCTTACCTCACAGCACGCTCACCCACCTGAACCTCACAGTACCTGCTTGAACCTTCCAGAACCTGCCCGTACCTGCCAGTCTGCCGTGTAGTAGAACTCATGGTTGAAGAGATCCAGCAGCGGCAGCAGCATGTGCACCTCCTCCCCTTCCGCCCCCTCCCCTCCCTCCCCCTCTCCCTCCTCATCCTCCCTCTCCGCCTCCTCCATATACTGCCAAAACTCCTCCTCATCCTCCTCCTCCTGCTCTCCCTTCCCTCCTCCCCCCCTCCTTTTCCTCCTCCCCCTTTTCCCCCTTCTCTTCAAACCAACGGCCGAGATCGGCACGGATCGCGACCACACGATCGCAACCGCCCATTTGAATTCATCCATAGAAGCACCCGCGATACTCTCATCAGAACAAAGAGAAAACGCCTCCTCAACATACCTAATCGCCTCCTCTACTCTCTCTATAGCCTCCCCACTATCCAGCTCCCCCAGCATCGCCTCATCCCAGAAAATCGGCAGCGGCACATACCCCGGCAGGAGATTAATCCACGGGGAGTAAAAAGACTCCTTACCCTTCCTCCACTCTCTTAACAGCCACGCGGCTACAGTCACATCGTCGCCAGCGTGCTTGTAAGGGGCGGGCGGGGGAGGGGCGGGGCGGTTGGTGCGGAAATCCCACCCCCCGTGCAGTCGGGAGAGCCAGAGGGGGAAGGGGATGGAGGCGAGGGGGGAGCCAGCGGGGGTGGTGGCGGAGGCTAGGATGCCCAGGGGGAGGCGCGGGGGGAGCGGGGGAAAGGGGGGCGCGCAGGAGTAGAAGGCAGGAGAGGAAATGGCTAGGACCTGGGGAGACGTGTGGGGAAGTGGGGAGGGGGAAGGTGTGGAAGCAGGGAGGGGGAGGAGGCGAAATGAGGGTGAGGAAGGGAAGGGAGATATTGAATAGTAATACAGGAGCAGGAAAGTAATAACGAACAAAAAAGCTACTTCGAATCGAAGGACATCGATTGAGTCTCACCTGGATCTTCGATCGTACACCCCCTTCCACCGATTGGTCCCCATGCTTCTCCATCCACGTCAGCAACGCGTCCACCAATCGCGCTTCCCTCTCTGGCAGCGGCACCATCGCGGAACCTTCCCTCTCGTACGCAAAAATGCTGCCCAGATCAAAATCCGGATCTATTTCCGGTATCGAATCCCAATCGGATCCCGAACCGTGATCTGATTCATTATCATAATCCTCATCCTCATCATCATCATCCTCTGTACCAAACTGCCCATCACCATCTTCAATCTCTTCCTCCTCCCCATGGTCTTCCTCATTTTCATGATCCTCCTCAGTCTCATCCTCATCCTCATTGGCAGAATCACCCCAACCTTCTGTGTAATCCGTGCCCTCATCCACGTCAGCGCCAACCACGTCATCACCCACGCCATCATCCGCGTCATCCCAGCCCTCCAAATCAACGTCCTCATCAAAAGGAGACTCGTTATCGTGCTCGTCAAACTCTCCCTCCTCCTCGGGTACATGCTCCATTCCATCCTCAAATAACCCCACTTCAAAATCACCATCCACATTATCATCATTGTCCTCATTGATATCAAGATCATCGACAACACCATCATCCTCGTTATAATCAGTCACACCACCATCCCGCTCATGATACCCAAGCAGCTGATCCGAATCGTCGTCTGCTCCATGCCTAGAGTTACCTTCGTGGGTAAAGAGCTCTACTAGCCCACCACCGTCATCACCAACATCTTCTAGACTACTCCCTGTATCACCTACGTGCTCGAACCCACGTTTTCCCAAACGCGTCTGAAAAACATCTACGTCGTCGATCGCGCTGCTCGCGCTGCTCTCGCTGCCCTCGCTGCTGCTTCTGCTGCCTCTGCTGTCTATGCTGCCGCTCCTGCTTTCGCTTTTATCACTTTCGCTTAGCGTGGTCGGAGTGGTAACGATCAAGAAGATGGCGACGGCGAGGAGGAAAACGCGGATCGCGCCGCTCGAAGAGTCAAAGCAACCCATCAAGAAGCGGCTACGTGGCCAGCTCAAGCGGCTACGTGGCCAGCTCACGCGGCTACGTGGCCAGCTCACGCGCCGCGCGGGCATGGGGGGGCTGGGGTGTTGGGAGAGAGGTGGAATACTATAGGATATTCTGCGAATCAGGAACAGCAGGCCGTGTACGCTGTGCGAGTGGATACCTTGTGATGCATCTCACCATTCATTGCTAGAAGGACCAGCCGCCGTGCGCTGTTCAAGGATCAGAAGCTACCACTTCGACTACCTCTGACACACTGCCCTACCAGGTAACAGCTCAAAAGCGCAGTGTCCCTAAAATCCTGCCCGAACGACGAATTGAGAACGCCGGCGAGATGTGATTGGTTGAAATTCTCCGTCGGGTCACCACAAAAATTTGGACCATTTCTCGATTTGTGCGTGTCATCCTTGCGCAGGGGCCATGCTAATCTTCTCTGTATCGTTCCAATTTTAACGGATGTCCCGAGAGTACGCAAGTCAACTGCAAACTATCTATAGGATTGGCTTTTGTCTTACAATGCAATTTGGGTCAAAATGAACCCGAAACTGTCTTTTCTTCCCTGGCGCTTCAGGACGAATGCCGAAATTCTCAAATGCTGATTGACGATTCTTGCCGATTCTTCCTCCTAAGTACGAGGCGCATCCCAAACGCAGAACCAGATGATCGTGCTGCAGGTCGATGACAGGCAGATTCTCGCTTCGCCAGTTAGACCCTTTCCTTTCGTTATGTCACTCTCGAAAAGAGTGAGCCACGTTAGAAGTTTTTCGTATCAGGCAGAACTCGGCGGGTTGTGCATTGGGCCAATCAGCACGCTGCTGCTTCGATAGAAAACTTTTGCCTCTTCAGATCTACGAGTTTCTCGATCTTCATAGTCGTTAACCCGCGGCTTTTTCTCCTCCTCGCGTTCCGCCATGGCCTTACCAATTCCTGAGAAAATTCGTGCCAGTCTTTCTCGCGTCGCGGTTGCATTCTCGTCCGGCGCGATCGGCGGGCTGTGCATCGGGTTAGCTGTGCCGCTGCTTGCGGCGGCGGGACTCATGGATGTTCTCGGCATCGCGATTCACCCGCAACTAACGCCGCCATTCGTGTACCAGAAAGTCGTGTGGGGTGGAATCTGGTGCGTCGAGTCATTACCCGTCCGCGGTCTCCATGCTTTCATCCATGCTCTCCATGCTCGCTCCCCATGCATGCCCTCGTCCATGCCTCCTTCTCTCCGATGCGCTACCACAGAACCGCTCTTCCCTTTTCCCCTCCCTTGCTCACACGAACGCAATGAGTCCTATCGCACGTGCCCCTCGTACTACTCTTGCGGTCGTTCTGTCTTCCCCGCTCTCCGAAACAACCCCATCTGTTGCATCAATAGAACTCTTTCAAAGACGCACGAAACATACACGCTCTTGGATTCCCCCTCTCTTTCTCTCTCTCTTTTTTATGTTGGCACCCTTTCTTTTGGTGGCTCTCTCCTGGCCGGTATTTGAGGCGCCTCAAAAGAAATCTCACAGCACTCTGGTCTTCTTGTGAAACCATCAAAAGATATGTCAAGGCAAGGAAAACACCCATCTCTTCTGCTGGTTCTGTCCTCCGCCCGCTCACTCGTTTTTTGAGGCGCCTCAAAAGCTGAGACGAATTTTTAGGCGCCTCAAAAGCTGAGACGATTTTTTAGGCGCCTCAAAAAGATATGTCAAGGCAAGGCAAACCCCAAACCCGCATCTCTTCTGGTGGTTCTGTCCTCCGCCCGCTCACCTGTTGCTTCAGGGGTTTCATCCTGCTCATTCCCTTCAACACAAGCACGCTCGTCAGAGGAGCACTCTTTGGTACGCCTGCTTTTCTAGCATCCGTTTGTCACCTCTGAGCTTCTTAGAGTGATCAAGAAAATAATGGAAGTAATTTTCTTTGCCTCTTTTGAATCTTGGCGTGCCTTCACCATGCATGCACGCACCTGTCCATCCCGTCCCATTCCTCCCTCTTTTCTCACTCCTACTTGCCTCTCCAACCTCCCCTGTCCCTCCGCCCTCCACCTTGTGTCCACCGCAACTGCAGGGGCGTTGGGTCCAGGCCTGGTGCAGCTCCTAGTTGTATTCCCGCTCAAAGAAACGGTAGGTGTTAATCTATGGGCGTAGAGGTGCCTCAAAAGCGCCGGCAAAAGGCAGCTGCAAGGGCGTTGGGCGTTGGGTCCAGGCCTGGTGCAGCTCCTGGTTTTATTCCCGCTAAAAGAAACGGTACGTGTTGGATTATGGGCGCTGAGGTGCCCCAAAGACACCTTTTTTTACCTTTTTGTCGAATTGATAGGCAGCTGCAAGGGCGCTGGGGCCTGGGCTGGTGCAGCAGACCCTGGCTGTATTCCAATCGAAGTCCCACGGGTCGTCGTCACAGCTTTTTGAGGCGCCTCAAAAATCTGCAAGGGCGCTGGGGCCTGGGCTGGTGCAGCAGACCCTGGGTGTTTCGTGCCTCTCTAGGTGCCTCAAAAGCTCCGCCTTGTGTTCCCGCTTCAAGAGACTTAACGAATAGAAGGCGGATAGTGAGGAGCTTTTCGTTGTGTCTCCAGTGAAAGAGAAGAAGCGTGTGTTGCTCTGTTTAATGTACATGCGTGCATTTTCTTGCAAAACACGAACTGAGTGCTCTATACTCCATTTTCCATCCCCCACCCATGCGCAGCCAGGGTCCCTCGCCGGTCTGTCTCTCGGTCCGCTCACGCCTCTCCTCGTTCTTCTCCTCAATGCCTTTGTTTGGGGCGTGCCCTCCGCCCTCGCCTACGCCCTGCTTTGACCCCCCTCCCCACAGTCCTTTGTCGGGTAACTGCTTCTCTCCCCCATACACCCCTGCCTCCACCCACCCTGCCCTCGCCTACGCCTTGCTTCGACCCCCCTCCCCACAGTCCTTGTTCGGGTAATCTCTCCCGCCCTTGACTCCATGGGAGTGCCTCAAAGGTCCGCCCCCTCCTGTGCCCTGCTCCCCACAGTGATGGGGGCTTTGAGTCAGTTAAAAACCCATGGGGGTACTTTTAAGGCCCGCCCCCCTCATGCCCTGCTCTCCGGTCCTTTGTCATCTAGCCACTTTTCCGCTGTGTTCATTCCTCACTCCATCTTTCCCTGCTGCTCTCCATGTGTCCCCCTGCCTCTCTCCATCTCCCCCTGCCTCCGCCCATGTGTCCTCCTGCCTCTCCCCATGTGCCCACGTGCCTCTTTCCTTTTCCCCCACTCCGCATGTGTCTCTCTGCCTACTTCCTTCCTATCCTGCCACTCTCCCCACGTGTCACCCTGCCTCGTATGTCTTGCTTTCCTTCCGCTCCCTGTGTTTCCTTCTGTCCCTCCTTCCCCACGTTTCGCCCTGCCCTTCCATTATGGCATCGCTAGCATAAGGGCTCTAGGAGAGAGTGACCCAGACCTTGAGTTACATGGGGAGAAATTTTCATGAGACTAAAAGCAGCTCACTGACAAATAACCATATTCTCTTATGGAAGCCAATATAACAGCATATTAAATACCCCTGTGCTCAAAAGCACTAAATCACATCCTCTCGGTACGTTCAATATATACTTATTGAGACTAAAGCCTGAAATATAAGTATACTTAGCAAATTGGAATAACTGTTCAGATTTCCTCGGAAACGTTCTCAACCGATATCACCGAACAGAAGTGAACAAGTGTAAGGATTTTTCTCGGCATTCCTTACGGAGCCCGACTACATCGCGTACAGCAACAGCCGTTGTTCGCCCGTTACTGCTAACGGGACTTCGCCAACTTCGCGCGCACTGTTTTGCCAAACCTCGCACTGCTGGCCCGGCCGTGTCGGCCTACGCTTCGGGACTAGCCCGAGCCTCGCTGCCAGCATAGCACTAGCTAGCTCGCACGCACCGCGTTACCGTTTGCATGTTTCGCGTATAAATGTTCGCTCATGCCTTCGCTCACATCTTTGTACTCGTTTGACACCTTAGTGCAATTCTCGCTACTTCGATTCATTGCACCCGTAACACTTGGTATTCAGAGCCCCTTTCTTTCGGACCGCGCATCTCCGCACCCCAGGAAATCAACTTTTGATTTTTCACTCGAAGGGACTCACGTACCTTAGCACTTAGGAGCCGCTGTCCTCGCGTTCTCTCGTAAACGCGTGCAGCCACGACTGCGCCTAGACTAAGACGAGCCGACGCCCTTCAAAATGGCTGAACACATCGACGTCACGACTCTCACGCAGGAGCACTTGAACGATCTGCTGCGACAAATCCGCGAGAGCGCCGAGGAAATCGCAACGCTGACGGCAGAACGCTCGTCCCTGCAAAACGACCTCACACGAGCACAATCCCAAGCACCTGGCACTCCGATTCAGCCCGCACCACAAACATCACAGCACGGAAGTGTGGGGCAACCCGCGAGCGCCGCAAGTGATGGCGTCGTCCGCCATGACGGAGACGACGACCACGGCACGACACACCCCGACGCGACGAATGCGGCCAGGACTCAGCCTCAACTTACGATTTCAGTGCCGGCCGGCGGATCAACTCTTCCGTCGCCGATGCCGCTAAAGCCGCAGCGTCCGCCATGCTTTGACCCAAGTCAGCGGGGTGGTCCTACCGTTCAGGCGTGGCTCTTCACGTTGAACGTTTTCTTCGACGCGAACTACGTCTCGGAGGATACGGCGAAGATTCGTTACGTCGTGTCGTTGTTGCGAGGACCCGCCATGGACCGGTGGCGCGTCATCGTCACGAAGCCGGCGGACTACGCATCTCTACCGACAAGGGAAGGACAAACCGGACCCTGGGCGCCGTCGTATTTCGTGGAGGTGCCCCAGTATCGCACGTGGGACGCGTGGTGCGCAGGTCTGCGCGCTCGTTTCGAGCCAATCGCGGCTTCGATCGCGGCGCGACAGAAGCTCCGCACTTGGCGCCAACTCGGTTCCGTCCAAGACTACACGAGCGGATTTCTGGCGCTATGCGAGCAGGTGGGATATATGCACGAGAGCGAGCGCATCGACCGCTACATCGGCGGCCTGA